TCCTGTCCATCATTTTTATACATGACCCTAAGCATGCTGGGATGTTATTTACTTCATTAACAAATGTGCCATACCCATGTGAAAGCCCTCGCTTCCAATATACTTGGTGTACCTCATGTACCCAGGTGTTTTCATTTTGTTTGTCCAAAAACCTGTATACACTCTACGTACTGTACCAACCCATTCTGTCAACAATCTTTCTGGGCTCCATAGCTTTCCAAGCGTCTGCAGCCTTATTGTGTTGAAGTTTGTAGAGAGGATCACTGGTCCTATGTCTTTATGGAGCTGTACCAAAGTGCTTCAACAATAACCACATGCTCTGACAATATAAACACAGTGTTCTTTGCTATATTTCATAATAATTAGGCAGTTAAATTCAACTGCAAGGCTTCAGGTAACAAACAAGGACTGTAACACAGTGTACTTGTTTAAACATTCTAGAAATGTACAACTTATATGGAACAGTAGCGCATAGGCCAACTGCCACAGCTTAACATTAGCTTTCAGGATTCATACCATGTTCCAGAAGCAGAGATTTGTTAAAAATAAGCAGAGATGAAGTAAAGCTAGATGCAGATGATTGAAGCAAAACAAATCATTATTTGCCAGTCACCATTTTGTTGAGGTGTATAGTCACTTTTATAATCCTTTAACTTATATATCATGAAATAATGAAACATTTCCATAAAATGTAAAACAAACACTAAAACTCTTTTTAATTGTATAGAAATACCACTGATCACTGATAACCACAGAATTAAGAACAATATATTAACTCATTCTACTTATTTCTTGCTGCAGATTACATTTATTAACTTTAAGGAGCACATACGTGACAACGTTAACCGCAAAAGCGTTTGAAAGTTACTATGCTTTTTAGAGCTTCCCGTCTTTCTTTCTGGCCCCCCGCGTGTTCTTTCTGTATTCTGAAAAGGGTTCGAGTTGGCAACTGCGACAATGCAGTGGCTGCAGAGAAAAAACTACACCTAAAGGTTAATTCATAAGTACAAATTGAAGAGAACGAGGGAAACCCACAACAATTCAACTGTGGATGATTCACTCCTCTTCTTTTTGCTTTTCAATATGGAATTAACCTGCAGTTAATGTTTTGGATTGTCTGATTCTTTCAGCTCATTGTTGCTTCAAAGCTCTAGGGCCCTGGGTTCAATTCCTTGGGTGCCATCAGTGTAGAGTTCACATGGGTTACCCCCTGGGAGCTCAGGTTTCCTCCCATAGTCCAAGGACATACTGGCGGGAGCATGGGCGTTTCTGTCTGTGTGTGCCCTCCAATGAAACAGCATCCCATCTGGGATGTATCCTGCCTCGCAGCCAGTCGCTTGCCAGGATAGGCCAGGGTTTGAATTTCGGCGCGGGATAGTGGCGGGTATGCCGCACAATTCGAGCTATTCCCGCAAATCCGCCATTTATACACAATGGTCATACCACCAAAGCCTGCCTTTGACAGCGTGAAAAGCAGATACGTGGGTTGCTTGATGAGGAAGAGGATAAAAAAATAATCATCCTTCCCCTAAGTTATGTTCTTGTACCTTTAATGGAGAGGTGGCTGGCAATGAAAAACAGATTGCCAAGCTAGGTCTGTATTTACAATGAACTCAGGAAGCTCGTGTCGTGTATGAATTATTTCGATACATTTGTTTCCTTAGTCAACTTTTATGGCCCCCAAGCTGCTGAAATCCCCCCCCAACCATGAGCTTCATGTAAAGGGGGAATTCCCCCTAATTTTCAAAAATGAATTTCAAGCCCTGATAGGCCCCAGCTGCCTGCATTGGATAAAGTGGTTCGAAAATGGAAGGACTCCTTCAGATACTGTACACAGCACTCAAATTTTAAAAGCAGTGCATTTTGAGCACTATAGTCCAGCCATCACCAGACTATGTCATTAGCCAAGTGTCACATAGAAACGCCTCCTGTGTACTGTTGGGAATTAGAGGGCTGGAGCTGAGCAGGACACCCATAGCTTGAGGTGCCATAGCAAACTCTAAGGCTTGCCAGTACAGAGTGTGTTGTCAGGGAGAGCTGCAACAGTCCTCTGGGCACTCACAGTGCAAAATATGGCAGGTGGCTCTGACAGCACATGTTTTGGAGCGTAGCCTGCATTTCATGCAGTTAACTCCTCCCATGCAGTTAAGAATACGAGGGTCAGAGTTCCGAGCCAAGCTGATCCACAACCATTCCAACTTGGGGCGAGAGCAAAATGGAAAAATAAGCAGCCATTCCAAATCTTAAAATAATTAAAAACAATACAACCGACAGACCAAGTAGCGGGCCTGAAGGGGAAAAGGATGAAATGACCAGTCATTAGGCTATTTCTAAAACAGACAAGAGGATGCAGACAGATGTGCGAGCTTGGAGACCCTGGACAGGAATCTGAAGTGTTAAAGTCCAACACAGCTTTAGCAGCTGGTGAAGTTGGGAGGCATGTGAAATGCTGAGGAGTCTTAAACTATGTGAATACTGACTGGCAAACAAGACTTCAAAATTCAAAATCCAATTACACTACACCAATTTTTGTGGATTTCAATTTGGAAATTCAACACTTTTCAGTTTTCCGATTGTCACACTTCGAAAAAATTTTTACACCAATGTATCAGAGCAATGAGAGCAATGAGAGCATGGATATATACATTGACATTCTGTAAATGTTATATTTAAGTTAGCCTGACATTAGCCAATTTCCTGGTATAAATTAGAAAAATACATCTGCATATTTTGCATACCCTAAAGGTAAAATACAGCATACGTTTTTTTTCTTCTGAAAAGCAATACAAAATCAAACAGACTTCCTACTCAGTACTAAAATGTGTAGCGAGCTCATGTTAAATTGTGCAATTAAGGCAATTAGTTCAATTCGTTTTTTAATTCAAATTAAAGTAGAATGTAAAGAAATGAAATGTGTCCGTGCTTTCACGTCATTTTCAAAGAAATTAAGGAAACTGGCCCCTAAGAAACTACACCCTGTTAATGAAAATGTCCAAATGAAGTCCTGTAAAGCAGTTAAAAAACAGAAGTAAAATAATTGAAAGACCTTTTTTCAAAAAATCATTAAATGTCTAATGCTTGAATCATGCTGGTGTCATGCCATATCAAATTCAAAAATTAAATGATAAAATTGTATTAGAGGAATAACACCTGTCATTGGTGGATCTGTCTTTACCAATCTGTTAAAGCCAGCTCCCCAATCTTCCTAAATAGACTTGCCACAAAATGTTTTAATACAGTTTTCTACATTTTAAAATGACAATCATTTTTTCATGTATAGTATGCAACCCTCTACTATACTGTACATACGAAACACCTTGATAAATGAGTGTCCAAATCCCAGAGGAACACAGAATCTTCTGTACTTCCTATCACTTAAATGGCCCAGGTATTTTGCTAACTAGTCATTTTTAAAAATATTTTCAAGTCTCAAAACACTTCATAGCTACTGTATATTAAATTAAAGGCTGGCCCTTGCCATGTATTATTTTAAAATATGCATAAAATAAGTATTAAAAAAACAACTGAATAATGTTCAATGTGAGAAAATAAACAGATTACCGAATTAAAGGATTCAAATGGATTACAGAAGGAGCAAGCCCCCAAGTTCGATACCCTAGCCATAAAATCTACATTCTCACAAATCCTTGGGGGATAGTATCACCCCTTCCTCCCCAAGTCTGTCAAAAATATAGAATATCTGTGTTTTTTAGAGAAAAAAATAACTACATCAAAGACAAACGAAAATTAAGCAACACCTGTTAACAATCAGAAGACTTATAAGAAGAGGGGTTATTTATAGCATCTGTGTGCTCTCAGTGAAATTGATAGGCTGCTTCTTGTGTTCACAGTAACAATAAGAGCCACTCTGGTCAGCTTTATTCATCTCAGAGGACTATGCATGAGAAAATTCACACACTCTGGTCTCTCTTCCTGTTGTTTCAAGGCCTAGTGCAGCTCTTAACACTCATGTAACACCCAACATCCTTAACAATACAGTTCATTGTACAACCCTTAGCACTGCTCTGCTGTGTGTACTCTCTCCAAACCGTCCTGAGAACCACTTAGTACATCGTCTGTGGTTTTCTGGTTAAAAGCAAGACAATAAATTCTCATGAGAACACAATGTCTAGTTTGACACTTTTGAACAGATCAACCACACATGTATTATGATAATCCTTCTATTCGGGAAATGTGTGTATATTACGAACGAACAGTAGTTACACATGTGTACAGGCCTGTCCAACTGTCTCATAAACTGCGGCAAATGCAGGACAACTGAAGATGCTTAAAAATAATCGGTTTGACAATAAAGTGTTCTAGGGCAGACACCATATGTATATTTTTTGAACAGAACAAATATCAGACTCCTTCTGAACATCTGAACTTAGATACAGTCTCTGCGCAGTCCTCTCCCAGCTGTTTCGCTGGCTTTGTTCATGTTTATGTAACTAATCCTGAAAAACTGGGTTGAGCAATCTTGCTCTGCGTCTTACGGCAAGTACAGTAGTCGGTAGCTAAAGAACCATCCCGTATTTGTTTTTCCTCTACGGCCCAGAGTTCATTGTAATATATGAGCAACAGGAAAACCCGATCTATAGGTTTTTTTTTTAGATCACCACTCGACAACTGATCGAAAAAAAGTAAAAATATATGATAACACCAAATAATGTCGTATCACATTTTGTTTATATATATATTACACATAGCACAGTAACAACGAGCCAAAGCTGCCGTGACATTTAAAATAACACGGGTTATTTTACAACGATCGCAGTCACTATTTCGCTGCTGTTCAGGCCTGCACCAAAGATGTCTCGGCTTGTTAGCTATAGACTACAGAGGCCGCGTCTTTGTACCCCTTCCTGATGCGGGGATTGCTTGTTTTTTATTAGCATTTTTCTTTGTCGGTGGGTATTAAATCTTTGCCTGGGGTACGCTTGGAAAGTACACGTTTGTTGGAAGACACGTCACTCTCGCAGCCCCCCTCCCCGCCGTACCTTTGTAATGCACCCGGAGATTGTTCTGGGAGAGACCGATGTAGCTGAACTTGTCCTTGGGGCTCCAGGATCGGGGCAGCGGGGTCTCCTGCTCGTTCACCGCCGGATACAGCCGCCTGAGCCGCTGGTTCAGCTCCCTTTCCTGCTCGTTGAGCGCTGAGTCCCCATGAACCACAACCGACATCAGAAACCCACAGCCCGATGACTGCCCGGACATGGCGATCGGGATTGTTTTTGTCTATTAAAAAAATACTAAATAACTACAATAACAACTACAACAATAAATTAATTTTTACTAAATGCCGCAAGAAGGAGGGAAAAGGGCTACTAGTTTAAAACAAAGCAAATAATCTGACGGACACAATTAAAACCAGACATGGACAGATAGCTCTTTTGTTTGTTGTTAGTGCATGATCCCCAGATCTGATTGGAGCCCACAAGCTCCGGTCAAACTAAAAAAACACACTTCTCCCTCTGCCAGGCGCGACTAATCAATGCTCCACTGCGCGATCCCCCCTTCCCCCCTATTTTTGAAGAAAATAGTCGAGAAGCAGAACAGACATAAGTAGCAGATTTAAATAAAATATATTATTATTATTCCTCAAATTAAATTACAGTGCATTGATAAATTCAGAAGTGACATTGAAACGAATGCTTACTAACAGTACAATATTAATCTTTGTCGTCATCATCATCATCATCACATAATTCATCATAATTAGGCTGTAATAACGAGGAGGTTATTTTATATCACTGTTGTATAATGCGTGTGATTTGAAAACTAAAATGTGGTTACACTAAATCTTCTACTTAGCACCGTCATTGCAATTTCAGTGCAAAAGGTTCCAGTCCAAAACCAGCAGGGAGAGATACATTACAGCAACAGTTTTAAAGATACAGTTTACATTCTTCTAGCAATTTAATGAAAATTTAGAGAGTGAACTGGTGAGCATTTTAAACCAACATGTACCAGGTTGGGGTCATTTGACACCAACTGCAATCTCCACTAGGGAGAAACAGAAATAATTGAAGGTTGTTTTCACTGACCACCATCTGGGTATAAGAGCAACACTAGTTTCAGTTCAATATACAGTATTAGATATATCACAAAACTGTATGTATATATGCAGTTTTATTGTTTTTCATAAACAGATCTTCCATTACTCCAAGCAGCTTAAGGTATAGCATGATTTATGTACACATACATATATTTTTATATTTTTAAATAGATTCGACAAAATGTACAGTATGTGTACAGTGGCTTGCAAATGTATTCAGACTCTTAACAACTTTTCAAACGGTGCTGGATCACAAATAATACACATCTTCTTCAATCAACATTTTTATTGCACACTCACATGCTCAAACACAATTTACTTCAAATTTGTTTAGAAATTTCAGCAGATATCTCAAAGCGAGACAAAAACTGAACTATGCTGCTTGCATAAGTATTCAGACCCCACACATTAATATTTGGTGGAGCCACCATAGGCCACCTTAAGTCATTTGGGGTAGATGTCTAACAGCTTTGCACACTGATTAGACCTGATGTTCTCCCATTCCTCTTGGCAGATTGGTTGTAGCTCATTCAGGTTTATTGGATAGTGCTTGTGGACCACAAGTTTCAAATCATACCATAGATTTTCCATGGAGTTTAGGTCAGGACTTTGAGCCACTCGAGGACATAAGCTTTTTATTCTTGAGCCACTCCAATGTTGCTCCAATGTCCTTTACAGCTTTTCAAATGTTGCTGGATTACAAATGATACACACACGCCTTCTTTCCTATCAGAAGTTATGTGTTAGGGGCACTGTATATATATGATATACATCAAGTGGAGAACTGCATCAGTGTGTGTTGGCTGCAAAGGAACAAATAAAGGTCAATTCCACACTGAAAAATAGAAAGACAAAATACAACTTTTTGGCTGTTGATCCTTTTTCTTTTGACTCACAAATGAAGATGGCTCAACAGGAGAAACACTGTATTTTGTTTTCCTATTTTATTTGTTCTTATTAAAATACATCTGCATCTTTCCAAGCTGAAAAAGAAATGTTCAAATAATTCTACCAACTAAGTAAGGGCTTATAACAGAAGCCAGAAGGTGCTTCAGCCTTGAGGAAATTGAGTGTGGCAGCCCTGCTTTAGAGAATTAATTATATATTATATAGAATTATATGAATTATATTATTATATAAACATTTATGTTATATCAGGTGTTCGAATTCCTTTTGTCCTTCTTGACAGCTTCTAGATTTACAACGGTAACCATTAATTTAAACACATAACATTCCTTGCTTCATATTGCAGAGGTTTTCTGTAATTAAGTGTTTAAAGGTAAAATGAACTCATTTCTCAATTTTTACACTATTCCCTTAATCCATTTCTCATTTGTGACAAATCTTATTACGTGTTGGTTTGGGTAACTTCTCTGAAACTCTGTGGTAAGTTAGCAAGTTCAAATTTTAGCTACAGTTTTTTTCTGTAGACATTCTGCACAAACATGGTATCTTGCCAGTAATGAATAGCAAACGTTAGCATCTATGTTATTGTACTATGCGTAAGTACAATAAGTAAAAACATAGGGTAAGTGAAATGGAAACAATACTAGGTTGAAAATACAAACTTGTCATGGTAAACTTGTACAATTATCAGCTGTTGTTTGTGCACAGAAAACATTTCTCACATGAAGACTTTTGCAGAGCCCTATGGTGACTAAAGTGGAGGAACTACCATGAGAAAGTAAATTAAATATTGCAATCCAGTGAGTCCTTTACAAATAAATAATACAAAAAATACTCCACCACCACCAATGTGTAGCCCCCACCTGGATGATGTGACAGCAGCCACAATACTCACAGAACACCCACCACACACTCCCCAGCTATCATTGGGGAGGAGAACAAAGTAATGAAACCAATTCATAGATGGGGATTATTAGGAGGCCATGATTGGTAAAACACATTTTGGCCGGGACACCAGGGTTAACAACCCTGCTTTTTTTGAGAAACCTCCTGGGATTTGTAATGACCAAGGAGGGTCAAGACCTCGGTTTTACTGTACATCTCGTCAGAATGACAGTGCCTTATTTACAGTATAGTGTCCTCATCACTATACTAGGACACTCACAGACCACAGGTTGAGCACCTCCTACAGGCCCCACTAACACCTCTTTCAGCAACCATAACTTTCCCAGGAGGTCTCCCCCTTCCAGGTACTTGCCAGGTTCACACATGATTAGCTTTAGTGGTTTGTTAGTTGTGAGTTGTAGGGAGATATAGCTGCTGACATTTTAAATTGACATTTAACTTTGTGATAATTTTGAAGAAGAAATTGAAACATTGACACTAGTCACAATGAGTATGTAAGAGGAAATTGAACTTGGAATGCGCAGTCTTCAGAATAGTGAATTGAAGATTATGTTAACAAACCTTTTGCACAACTTTACTGCTTATAGCCATATGAGCTCCTCATTCACACTTTATCATCTTATTTTTCACAGTTTAAAATGTAATTAAACTTCTCAGTATCCTGTTGTAAACGCAGAGCACAGAAAACTGCTTTACTGAGTTCATAAGGATTATAGTGTGGATTCATAAAGAGACAAGTGGCTAAAACCCAAGCATCACAAATTTCAAGTGTGGCCAAGTCTGGATCAATACAGTGGATGGGATAATGGGTTCACCGGAAGAGAGCAGAATCTGAAAAAAACCACAGGGAATTGTTTGAATATGCAAGTGAGCAAAGTGGTAGAAAATCAGAAAAACAGTACACCTGTAAACATGGAAATTCTCTCTACACTGATAGACAGTAGGGACTGAATGAGAGAATTTCCAAAAAATGTTCCATTATTTTGTTTTGTTTTTCAATTGATTTTTTTCCCATGAATTTAAGATGTAAATATATTTGGTAAATGTCCATTTTAAAAAAGTAATAAAATGCACTTTTAATATACAGTTTATTGATATTATTGAGAATTTTAATGACTTTTGTGACTTTTTATATTTGCTTTCACACAATGCCATTTTCCTTAATTTTGGTTTAGTTTTGTCAAAATGACTATTAAATGCAGAGTAACACAAACACTTGCTTTGTTTTTTTGCAGTCCAATCGAACGCCTATTTGAAAATCTAAAATATGGCTCTAAAGTCCCAATTGCACATTAGAGTATCTGTGCTGAAACCCTCGCACAGAAAAATAAAATGAGTTTGCACTACCCACTAGCATTATGCCTCACTGTATTTAAAGCTACTCTTTTTCTCTTCTAAAGCAAACAATGAAAAAAGTCAGTTTTTGCTATAACAAATTGCACATAAATCTTTTTCCCAGGTTCCCAAAGGATTTGTCTGGGGTTCACCTATTTTCATCAATAATCACCTTCTTGTAGGGCACTTCAGTATAATTTATCTTCATTGCAAAGATAAATGAGCTGTCATTCCAAAAGCAGTTAAAATCTCAAGTGTCTTTGGGGTTGCTTCAGTATTTCTCTATTAACATACAATTCTGCCTTACCAACACACAGGACATACTGTAGGAGATAGTATGTTATATGTGCCTTAAAGCCTAGGCCTGGGTAAGAAATAGAATGTCTTTACCTGTTAGATGCAATTTTACCAATTAACTCTCAAGAACTAAAACCTACATATTTGACCTCTATCAAATGTAAACTGATACTTTATCCAACCATTAAATAAAAACTCTCAGAACAATGCATCTTTTACTTGTGCTGTACTGTGGTATATGTTTAGACTATGTTTTGGAGGAGGAGGAATTTGATTAAGTGAAATGATGTCATCATTAATAAAAAGGAGTGAAACTCAAGTCATGTCATGATCATTATCTTGTTTGGTAAGTTTCAGGTCGCTGGGTTCCTGTGTGGTGCAATTTGCTTTCCAATAGTTTACATACAGTAGCAAATTCACAATTACTGTTAAACATGAGGTTACTCTTTTTAGGTTATGAAGTTTGGAAAACAATTTTCACAACACAACACAAACATCCTTTAGCCAACATCAAACCCGTGGGGTTGTTAGGAATGCTGAGGAAGTAATTCAGTAATCACATTTATTGTGCTTGTTTTAATAACGTTTTTCTTCTTGGACATTTTCTGCTTCTTCAACTTGCACTAAAACACATCTATTTATTTAAATACCAACAATTTCTCAAAAAAAAAAAGTATTTTTCCTTACAAACTTGCCAGGATAAGCACCCGATACCCCGTGACCCTAAATTGGAAGAAGCAGTTAGAAAATGGATGGGTGTGTATGGGTGTAAAAACATCTCATACAAAACCACCCTACCACATAAGTTTAACCCTTACCAACAACAGTGTTCTGGCTCACCTTTGGCATTGAGTACAGATCACAGTACTCATTTCACTTAATGTTCCCAGATGTCCGTAAAGATATGGGTCTTCTCATAACGTATAGAACCTAACATCTGTCATGTGGTTCAATAGGCTTATTACAGCATGAGTTGTGCTTTCTGTCTGTGGGATTTTGTATATGTTGATACCTGCCTGCAGTACCTTCAGGCTTTCTGGAATGAATACATTAACCAGGTCAGCTGTTATCACCAGTGATACACCACAGGCATATGCCTGCTACTAATGCTTTAAAAAATCCTCAGGTATAATGGTAGATACCACATATTGTTCAATGTACTCTTCCAGAACACACCCTTCTCCAATATTTAGGTGGGGCTGTGATTAAATATTGATTGCATATGTCAGCTCCATCAAAACCGCACGATAAATACAAAACTATTAAACTATTTCTAATAGTCATAAAAAACCTTCAGAGCTCTGTGTGCCCATCTACAAAAATAGCTTTATTAAAAAAGACATTTAACATGTCCCCTCCATTTCAGAGCAAGAATACAGATATTGTGGCTGATGACAAAGAACTGGATAGGCCATTCTGCACCACTGCCCCATGGGATTCCACATATGTTGTGATTCATAGGACAGGAATTTGCAGACAACGAGAGATGCCAGGGTTTCTCCTTTAGAAGCACGACAGTTTAAAAAACTGCTTATTCCAGATTCTGCTGTTGCTATGTGAATGCTATTTCTTCTTTTGAATGTTTAGACCTTTAAATGGCATTCCTAAATATTTAAAGATACTTTGATCAACAAACATACAGTATACAGTCTAATGCAATATTCCATTTTAAATATTTCTCAAAGCACTGGTAGCAACACAATGCACCAGCAATTACTGTACATGTCAGTCATGTATGCCTTTTGAAACCTGCCATGGGACATAGGGCCACCATACTCCAAAGCTCCTAGTGTCCTCTGTGGTCATTCCTGCTAGTGAAAAGCATATAACAAGTTGCAACTCTCTTGGTTCAAATCTCCTTAGAGACATTTTGGTGACTTAAAAAAACCCTGAATGGTAGACATCTTCCCCACCTGATGACAGTGCTATGCTATCCACTATAAGTGATCTTCTCCAAATTATTCTGTTTAATAATGCACTGTTGTGGAAGAGAGGGAATTAATGACATTTAAATCATGTAAATCAATTTACAAATACAAAACTCTTTACTAAGAGAATTAAGACACTTGCACTTTGAAGCATAAGAAAAGAGTTGGTGATAAACCTCATGAAATGGTTTCATTACTTCAGGACTCTCAAGTTTTGAGATGTTACTTTCCTCACGATTATCAATTTATTTGATTTGACAAATACATTCAAAGAAATCTACAACTACCTATTTTTTAAAGTCATGGCAAAATTCATCACAAGCCATCTGTATTTTCCTTTATGTTTTATTAATCATACCGTCAGTATATTAAGTAATATAATTATAGAAAAGTAACAGTATAAATATAAATATTGTGCTGATATTTTAATAATGCAATAATAGTTACAACTTTTTTCTGTACATCTCAGTAATATTAGGTTATATACAATATCTTACTGAAAAATCAAGGCATCTATGATTTAAATATGCACTTAATCACAATATCACCATCAATAGGTTATTTTGTCAAATTAAGAAATGTCAAAGTAATTAAAAATACAGGCTACAGCAGAAGCACTGCCTGTTGACAATAGGTCCTTTTTCAGGAAGAGACCTGTAGAAATTATTATACACATGTATATGTATATATTTACACATAAAAACTACTACTAATTAAAGAAACACTGAAGAAACTGGGTGTAATACACAAATAACACAGCAGAATACCATCTTGTGTAAAAGCACAATGTACTATTGTACAGTGATATATTGACAGTGTACTGTGACTGGCAGTCATGTAAGCAATCAGAAGTTCCACACCCATACAGGAAGAAGAAAAATTACCATGAAAATTTAAAATAGGCCGTGATACAAATGGATTGTGGTGAATGCATGATTTAAACTACGGGTTCTGGGAGGAAATATCATACAAGGAGCATGAAGAAATCAAAGGCTTAGCTATTGAAGGTCACTCCATGTGACAGACTGCAGCCAAATTCTATATTTCAGCTGGTGGTACTCACAAAAATGGTATTGCTGATAACAGAAGTGTTTCTGATAACAGAAACAAACTGTCCAGGAATGATGTACGAGCGTACATTCTCTGCATGAGAGATGATAACCTTTCAGAGATGCATGATTTATCCTTGCAGCTGTGACAATGACTTATCTGCAAGGATAAAAGCAAATATCCTTAAAAATTCTAAACAAGTCAAACCTCTTTATACCACATAAGCATACAGTACACAGGCACCCGATTAAAATATTAAAGCTATAGAAAGGCTATACTCAAAGCTTTGCCTTTATATACAATTAATGCCATCTGAACTGATCATTGGGTTATTCAAATGGCTTAACCAGAGACATTCTCCACAGGCAATGTGTTTCTTTTCTTTACCTCTCAGCCTGAACATTTACCTGTTCATAGGTATATGAATACATATTTATATTCATATACTGTTTAAGTCTGTATACGCACATACCATGCGCTTACTACACATGTACTATGCATAATGTGAACCACATTTCAAAGGACCCACTTACAGAAATCCATACAAGTTTTCAGGGTGTTTGTTCAGAAAGTAAAAATATTAATATGATGTTGTGTCTCAATCTGCTTGGTTTACTGGAGAGACACTTTAGGGTATAATGCTTTCATGTTGATTGGTGTCTCCTTGGTCTTGCTCCATTATTGAAAAACATCTCTATAGATTCATCACTTAAACATATAAAAGACATCTGATTCTTATCAGTAAATATTTATGTTTCCTGAAACTTAACAAATTGGACCTCCAGGCAGGACATGGTTGTACAGTGACCTCAGCTGGACATAAGCAGTGGTGCAACAGATGACAATCAGCCTTGTATGCAAAGGGCTGCCTTTGAGTTTTTTTATGGTTGTGTGATGCAGTAGTCTCATACTCACCTACGTGGCAGAAGACCCACAATCACTTCCAGTGTTATTCAAGACTTGAATAATCTAAATTTCTCAATTCATAAAGCTTTGTGGGCATGATCTTTGGAAACATTTTAAAAATATTACTTTTAATGTTTTACCATCTCAAAAACCTGTCGGTCTTAGACATATCACCTGTTTAAAATGCACATCTCAAAAGTGGTAATGTTGCAGTAACATAGAGTGAAAATAATTCAATAGAAAGCACATTCACAGGTTTGTTGCCTCTTCAGGATAGCAGTGGAGCAGAGATGTGGGAAGCTTCCAGTTAACTGCACACATGGGTAATGTTTTTCAAAGATATAGATTCACATCCAGACTCGGTAAAACCCAAGAGCTACTGTCAAGCAGGTGAAGACTGAACCTAAGATGAAACAAAAACAAATCAATAAGTAATTCACATCAAATATTAAGGTACCTTTCTATTGAAACAAAAAAAAAAGGTAAGTCATGGAGAAGCTTGCATTTTAAAACTGCAATTCAGTTTCATGACAAGGTAATGGGCATTTAACAACGAAGGATATTCATTAAGACAACTCATGATTTAGAGACCTATCACTTGACATGCAGATGCTGACGTGTCTGGTTTTCCAGTTCACAAATGAAAAAAGGATGAATCAAAGATTTCAGTCATGATTTTTGTATATGAAGTAGTTGAATTCCAACAATTAAAACAAGACTACTTACCCGCAAGATATTTGATGGTGTCAAGCTTATGCGATTCGAGCATGGTTTTCAAGCCTGCAACTTCAGTGTCTATTTTCATAATAGTCTGTGTCACAGCACGGTCCTGCTCTGAATGCTGGGCAAAATGAATGATTATGTAATTGAGTTAACATTTACATGCACATCAAGACCAGTACAGTAGATTAATCTCTTGATCCAAAGGATATTCACAAATGCTTTCTCCTGACATGCAATTAATTCAGGGACAAAATTATTTATTTTCAGATTCCCCAAAAATTAATATATAAAAGATACTCAGCAGGAGCAAACTATTGGTTGCCCTTCACGGTGTGCAAATGTGATCAACACTTTTACCTTGCAGGCATACTCAAGTCAGATGTGAGCACTCACACAGACTTGCACAGTAAACAGGACAATGGAACAGAACCTTAGGGTCAGAGACGTTGCTCCAGTCTCTCCCTATGAGCTTGATCGAGATCCATATTCATGAGGAATCTAGCATATACTATTCTCTAGTCATGCCCAGGCACAAGCTATGGCTGTCAGATATTGGGCAATATGTGGAAATAGGGCATTCTGAACATTCATTTACTATCCCAACAATTTCAGATATCTCGTATATAGAGGTTTAAGCATCTGTGTAACATGTGCCCTAATCTAGTCATATTGCTTATCATTAGGCACGTTTAAGGTCTAAATGTTAAGTGAAGGAGCGGCATGCAAATTCTTGAATACAACACCCAGTGCCTTCTGCGATAGACTCGGGCTCACTTCAATGCTGTATTGGACTAAACAGCTACTAGACGTAAATGGATGGGTGGGTTGCACGATACTGTGGCCACACTGCCTTGAGGCCTTTTTAAGTACAGTCAGTGATAACAATATAGAGTTTTAGATAGTGTATGTTTTATGATTATTTCTAATGTTTTACACGCACAATTTGAAAACTGAATGGAGTGGAAAGGTGACAATGACCTTAAAATTAAAATGAAAATGTCCGTTTTATACTTAAGCAAGTGTCATAGGTTGAAAAACAGTCACATCATATTTAGTTTTTCAAATGACTGTAGTTTCATAGTTTCATACAGTCTACAAACTCGCTTACCATTTCAACCGTTTCAGTCCTCAACTCCAGAAGTTTCCTCTCATGATCGGCGTACTGAAAACAGTGTTTTCGTTAGCATTGACTCATTTCAATTTGATTTTTCAATCTTTATTATACAAACAAAAGTTCAATTCTATTCTGGGCTTGAAACAAATGACTTCTCAGGCTCTGGTGGCTTCCCTTATGCTACCTCTTTTTACCTGTAATACCTGTACCATAAAACACAACATTAATTCAAGCTCTAAAACAGAATACCATACACAGTTTAAATTAAGCAAATCTCTTCATCACTGAATACACTGGATTACGCAGGAATTTTATACAAATATTTCAAATTCTTAAATGTTCTGGCAAAGATAACCTAGTGACTTATTTTGGGATATAAAATAACAAGTGCACACGAAGAAGAAGTGCACTTAATACTGAGAATGGAAATATATTTCATTACACAAAGAGTGGTACTATGTGGAACAATCTACTCAGGCACATTTGTTTAACTGAATTTCCTGTTGTTTAATGAAAGCGACTAAATAAGAAAGGTAAACGACTAAATGTCTCCTCTCGTTTATTTTTAGAACCACTATTGCATAAGAAGTAACAAAATGAAAATCAGCACTACGTACTATTCTCCCTTAAGCATCATCACTAAAAATAGAAAGGCACTGACATTTTCACTTAAAGAGGAAATGCAACAATATTTTTTATATTTTGGGATTAGAAAGAGTCAGCATTGATGAGTGCATTTCAAACCACAAAGAAAGTAAAATGTACACAGTAACCTATAAAACCTCCAATTTAAAACAGACAAAACAGACAACCTTTCCAGGTATGTGCTGTGCCATATTCTGCTATTCAGAACGAGGCAACACAACCTCCAGTGACAGGAAGCAGCCCCATTACATTGTAAAGAAGGAGGCTTGTGCATACATCTCTTTTAATCCAATAGAAATATTGCTCTCGACTTCGAGACAGTTTTGCCAAGACATACTACATACTTCTTAACTCTGTATGCAGATCATGTTGGAATATTTCTGTGGTGAAATTCACTCGTACATCGCATTACGTTGGTTATTACAGTGACTACAGGAAGTTATCACATGAAGGGCCGCATCATGTCACAATTCATAGGAACTATCACTCTTGCCCGCAACAACAACATGGCGACTTACAGTGCTTTCACAAAGTTTATGATTTCTAACTTAATTCGAAATGTGTAAACTTTTTCTCTAGTGTCAATGATTTTATTTTGTTACAAGAGGTAATAACCAGTCTGAGAAACTGGGACTGCAGGTCCCCTTTAATGGGAAGTGCTTAAAGATTGTCCCAGAAATTATGGGAAGATTACTGCTCTTTTAATTTGTATTGTAGTACATATAAAACCATCCTGATTAAGAAAATCGGAACAATCAAATGCCAAATGAATTAATGGGTTTGCAAGCATCACAAACATTGTAGTTGGTGCTATTTAGCTAAAAGGCTATAAGCTGTAAACAACTCCTTAAGGAGTTTCCTGAAATTGTAAAAGGCACAAACAAAATGTAGACTTACCATTTCCTTCACCCTGCTCTTTTCTATGTTCAATTCCAGGATTGCATCTGAACGTATTTTGTTCATCTCATCCTGCAAAGTCAGCATTTATTAATTGCCAAAATTTCACACGTCTTAGAAAATTAAGAACTGGAACAGATGTGTCACATCCATTCCTTATTTCAGAATGCAGAATGGACACATGCAGTACGACTGATCAAAATCTGGGTTGTTTCCTTGGTGCACGCAGAGCTCTCTAAATGACACATTCCTGAATCACATTTCAGACTAAGATTAGAGGCAAATCCTATCCATTGAACTTATACATTAAAGTAAGGAACTGTGAAAATAAATACTGAGAAAACTTTAAACAGGATAAGCAGTAATACTACCAAAAGATGAACATTTTCTTCCATTAAAACGCCATTCCAAACGTAAATGTTATACCTCACTTTGACTGACCACACCCTATGCCAAGATATTTATACATTGAAATAATATTCCTAATTGGATTTTGTGTACATATACCGAAGTATAAGGAGGTCTGTGTGTGTGGCAGGGGAAGCAACTGTACTAAATGACCTGGGCTACTCAAGCAGATCGCCTGAAACAACCTCTACAATCACGAAGAAGTTCATTCTATCGGCCTATCGGAAAACTGGGAAATAATGGAAAAACGGAAAAACCTCACAAATACAAACTAAATCCTTAATATTAAAAGGATTAAAAAATACTCACAGCTGCTTGTATCTTCAGTTGTTGTAGCTCAAGCTTTAATTTCTAAAACGAAAAAAAAAGTTAGACTCTAGTGTTCCTGAATTTTCAAATGTATGCCATATATATCTTTATGATACTTTAGCTCACCTCATTTTCAACCAGCAGCGCAGAGAACTCACTCTTCTCCAGGATTATCATGTCCTTCTTCACGGCAGCAATGTGTGACATCACTTTCTGAAGCATGATCTCCTGCCAATTACAGTGATAACATTTCACATGAATTGCCATGTCTTAGGTGATGATATGTGGATCTTGATATATAAAACACTGATGGAAATACATTTTCATAGTTGCAGTGTGAAATATATATATATAATGAATAATACATATGGTGATGGTTCATAGGAGGCTTTTCTTTTTCTTAGTTCCATTGTTTTCTATATGGTCATGACTAGAGAAGTATAAAACTAAGATTCCTCCCAATAAAGATACTGTATACCTCAATTCACAAAAGGAAAGCCATAAAAATGCTATGCGTCATCCATAAATAGCAATTAACTGCATAAAATAAAAAGTTGTACTGACTGCACCGCGATCCAAAAAAGCAGTGCTTTTATCCTTAAGGATACAATGACGTAAAAATATATAATGTACATTGTCTTGATTCTAAGGCATCTCACCTGTTGAACCTTTGTCACCATGTCTTTGTAAATGACGTCCATGTTGGAATTGGTAATTTTTATTAGAGCAGTCACTAGCACTTCTGCTTGTTCAGTGCTGAACCCTGAAAAAAATATATAAAAAAGACCGTGTGGAAATATCAGTTATCATTGTTAAATAAGGACATTCATCATCACAAGCCTAAAGCTCAGCATGTTGTTAATTTTTTACTAGGCATGATTTAACACACCATGAACTTCGCAGTGGCTAGAATTTAGAATAAGAATTTCTCATTTAGAATTAGAAGTAGAATTCTCTTCTTCTTCTCTCTGTTCATTTGTACTTTCACAGTGAAATGGTATAATATTGTGATGATGTCTTTGAGGAGGGAAGGAGCAGCTGAGTTTCATCCAGGGTAGCAAGATTTGCATTTCCTTACTTAGAAAGTTGTATATTGATTTTATTGCTTGGTGGTATTTTCAGTACCTAGCTGTGCTTGCACTTGAAGGCAAGCCAGCATGGAGGAAATCACAGATGATGAGGTTGTTTCCTAATGGTTTTCCTGGTCAATTAACTTCACTGTAAATCATTAAGACAACCATATACAGTATGATTAATCCAGCCTCCCATGGAATGGATCACATCATAAAGACAAAATAGGCATGTTCAGGAAAGGAAGCTGAACACTGGGAGACCTCCTTTGTTTAAACCAGACAACGAAACACATTCTGTCCAGCCAATTTGAAGGCTGAAAATAGTACTTGACACTACACATTATTATAAGATAGCTTACTGTCTTATTTAATTTAGGAAATTCTGAACTCTTTCCTAAAATGTCCTCTTTTTTGTTAATGATAGATTTTTAGAATAGTGAAATTGGTTCCCATAATGTTGCTGGCATCCATGTCTTAGAGATTTTGACCTAGCAAGGATGCTCTTTTCTTAAAACAAGTTTTCTCTCGCTGACCTGTTAGTGTTTTCTATGGTCTTAGAATTGTGGAGTTCTCTAGATCTATAGTAAGCAGAACTGTTTAAATCACCAATTGTAAATACCTGTTTATTTGTTGTTATATATTTTTAACATATTTATTGTCACATTTTTGTGCAACAACAATCCTGTGTTTTACAGTTGAGATATTTATTGCTAATAATAAAGTCTTGTCTAGGTTTGGGCCTAATTATTAATCCATCTTCACAGCTGTGACAGAGAATAAAAGGGACATGTGCCTTATAACACTGCAATTCCAGATTTTACAGAGGTAAAATTGCTTATCTTTATTATTTGTTAGCATATAAGCTGGTGTCAGAATCCTTGAATTTTAACATTACCTATTAAATTACAATATAGACATACAAATATGTTTCTGTATGGAGGGTCCTGAGGTTTAACTATAGATTTTTTATGTAATGTCCGTGTCTGTTAAACCCAATAATTAACTTTGTGTAACTACATATTATAAGCATAAGATAAAAAAAAATACTGAAGTTACTTATGTAAACTGAAGTCAGTCATTATTTATTTAATAAGAAGGGTGGAGAACCCTTAAAAACTACTTGACTGACAAATGTAACAATCTCTACAGGGTTAATTACTTTACATTATCACTTTTCAGGTCAGTGACAAAGTGCTTGAAGAACTTTTTGTTACATGTAAATGAAATTAAATGTTTTATGAGCAGCTGCATTAGTGAATTTGTATCTTACAAACGTCACAAAATGTGGTGCTACCCTTCAATACATTTGTAACTGGAAAAGGAGGGTAAGAAATAAAAATCTTTTGAAGAATAAGAAGCTTGTGTGTAGAAGTGCTGGGGTCTTTTTTATTCTGGTCACCAAATGAACTAAGAAAAATAGTTTTCAGGGATGACCCACCTTTTTCTTCCAGAAGACGAACCACTGCATGGGTGTCAAAATAGAACTTCCTGCTTTCTGACTTTGCTGCTTCCACGTTTTTCAAGTCATACTGGAAGACCTTAATCGAAGTGTTCAATTCTAAACAGACCAAAGAAAAAGGAAATAAAATACATGCTATGTGGATACGTATTAATGCAAAAGGTTCTAAATTGCAATACAGCTGGGCCACACTTCCAATCAAAGTTCGAACAACTTTCTTTTCTTCACTACATATATGGTGTTATACGAGCACACTATGCTCAGTTTCTTGTTCATAATTATGACTAGAGACATGCATGAGTTAGCTAGAAGAGATGAAAGCATATTTGACATCAAGATTTTTTATTACATTTCAAATTTTACAGAACTCCCTGATAAAAAAATAAAGTCAAACAACGCAGGAAATGGGGGAAGGTGTCAATTTATTAATTCATAACGCCTGTACAAAACCTTCATGTCCATCAAAACCTTTTCACGCTTAACATCAAGCTTCTCTTTTGGGCTTGACTTCATTTCTGTCACCTGTTATTACTGGGCTTCTGTGCCAAGGCTGCTCATTCTAATACTGCGGGGCTTCAGTATTCGTAAGTGTAGAAAAAACGATAAAACACATATGAAAACTGAGAACATTAAACATTTTTATGTTTTAGAAACGTCTCATAAAAATGAGACAATGTTCAACTAGGTTTGATTAATCCAGAGAGACTGTTGTTCTCCAGTATGAATGTGATGGAATGCTTTCTATAAAAAATAAAATTAACAATCAAACCTTTAAATGACTGCTTTGAAACAAAAGAAAAACACAATTCTAAAATGAAAAACCCTAAGAAATGCAAGTAAAAAAATACTGAATTATATGCATCTGTCTGAACTGTTTTATGATTTGGTACTGTGCTTGGGGGGTAAAGGTGTACAATCAGAAAATTTCAATTTGATACAGATTTACACAGAACATTTACTGGATCAGAAAAACATACAGTACAAATAAAACTGCTACAGTCTTGTCTGACAGCAGACAAGGAAATATGACCCAGATAATTTGGAAATATGAACAGAATGTTCACCCATTTTCATTTGGGTTAAGGAGAAACAACCACCCTTATTTTCCCCATTTTGAAGTTTAATGTTTGATCACTAAATGTGCAGTGCCTTTATCAGAGTGATATTTTTGACCTGCTTCCACCTGTGAGTAAAAATGAGCTGAAAAATTAATTCCCATCTTGGGGTGAAATCAAAGCTGCTCTGTTATCACGGTCCTTTTTCAGGCCATTTGCTGGCCGACGATGCAATGAACATGTTGCTTAATGCTATCATCAAACTAACACCCTCCCAATGTTCAAGAAATACACAATGAGCAACCCTTCTTGTAAACTTCTGATGTGTAGCCCATTGGCAAAGCTCCTAATCAGCTCTCCCTCTTGTAACCACTGGCTGCTACTTGTAATTCCAGGATCCTTGGAAAAGAACAAAGTGGCCCACATGCCATTGGAGTGGAACGTGAATTTCAGCTCTTTTCTTGTCATTTTTGTAAGGGGTCAAACGTGTCGTTTTTCTTCACATTGCGAAGAAAATGCAAATCATTAACTTGACCGGGAAATGGGGTCTGTTATCATGCACTGAAATACAACAAAGTATAAGAAAAGCAGTAAACAAGGTTATAAAGGGTGTATTACTGTCGCTACCATTAATTGTCATTAATTATAGATATGGTCATGCAATGTTTATGTAAAGCTAAACTCATTTTTGGAACCTATTTCACAAATGAAATTTCACCCATGAAGAACAGGCAACTTTGCCTGTGATAATCCAGTGGAAAAGACCCTATTTATAGTCTGCTATCACTACAACACAATAATCCTCTTAAGGAAATTTCAGATTCAGCATAAAGCATTTGAAGGACTTAGAGGGTAAATCATTTGGAAGCTATTTAAAAACATTCCCTTTACATTTGACTGCTTAATAATGTGCACCTTCATAAAAGAAAAATCATATTGTACACAGACACAACATTCAAAAAAATAAAAACGCTGATTATCCAAAAAGAGCAATAAAAACATAAACGCTATTGAATCTCTATTGGTGTAAAATGATCATAAGTGGTATATATGGGCATATCATTCAGTATTTGATTTAATCTATCAGTTTGAAGCGTAACTAATTATAGTAGCAATTATATAATTCATTCAGAAATAATGAAGACAAAAGCAAAATTTAAAAATCAGAAATCCATGTTTTAGTTAATATGAAACTAAGAACTCTGAGTCATCACAGTAGCTGAATGAGCAGTGAGGAAAAACAAGTACTTCAGGTTAGGCCAGATGACTATTGATATAGACAGAAGTCCCTCTTGAATGATCCTGAAGTAAGATTAACAGAGAGTCAGGAAATCCTAATTCTGCCACACCCTGGGCAACAACAGGACAGGAGTTCCAGTGAGCTCATATGAGCTACAGTGTCAACTGGTTGTTATGTGGCATTCCAGCATACCTACTGCCCAAGAATATCAAGAATTAACTCAGATCCCATAGACTGGGATTCTGAAATCATTTGCAAAATTACAGTTACAGCATAGTTACTTTACAAAGGTTTACAATGTACTTGTATCTTATGAATAATTTATATTCATAATATTTGTACTAGATTTGATCTTCATTTACTCAAACATATAGAGTTTTGTATCTGCATTTTTGTCAAAGCATCCCAAGATCTCTATTTCAGCACAACATTGTCTCCAAATAACTCAGACAATTCAGTAAACACTAAAACATGTGAGGAAATATCACCCAACATAGAGGAGAAGATTCCTAGTTGTATGAATTGGTAACAGCATATATGATCCCCAAGGCTGTGTCCTATCTCCTTGGCTCTTTTCCCTTTTCACAAACAACCTCACATCTCGGGATGACTCTGTCAAGATTTTCAAATAAGCAGCTGACACTACCATTGTCGGCCTGATCTCGAATAATGATGAGACTTGTTACCGAAAGCAGACTGACTTGGGAACAGCCTGGTGTTTGGACAATGAACTTCTACTCAATGCTTCTAAAACCAGGGACATCATCATTGACATCTGACGCATCCAGAACACAAAACTTCCAAATCTTCATTGATGATCTTCCTAAAGGGACCACAAACTCCTTTAAATTTCTGGGTACATACATAAACAGTGATCTTAAATGGAGCACCAACAATGACCACATAGTTAAGAAGAGGACGTTTTTTCTGAGGCAACTCAAAAAACACCGGATACTCTTCTTTTAATTTTACACAGCCATAATCAAAAGTGTTCTGACAATCTCTATTACAGTCTGGTATGGGAGCTTGGATAACTACTCAAAACGCAAACTGGAAAGGATTGTGTCCAAAGCTGCAAATATTGTTGGCTGTGAACGCCCTTCTATTTCATCTCTCTATTCAACTCTCACCTCCAATCGTGCCAAGAAAATCATCTCAGACCCCTCTCACCCAGCTCATAATCTCTTTCAGTTTCTCCCTTCTGGAAAACGTTTCTAATCCTTCCTCTCAAGGACTGCTCGCTTCAACCTCAGCTTCTTTCCCACTGCCATATGAACTCTGAATTTGCGTTGAATTTTGAATTTAATTGTATAATTAGGGACAGTTGGTTACATTAGTATGTGACAATGTTTGTGTATCTCCTGTCCTATTTAAATGTGTACTGTATATGTTGTATGTATGTTTCATCTGTGTTCCTTGCTGTACCAAAAGCAAAAAGCAAATATTGTTGTGTGGCAATAAAGAATAATCACTGATGATATCACCAATAAATACTAGGCCAAAAAGGGAATGGCACAGAAATGATTGTGTACTGGGATAATTTTGTATTTACACACAATAGGTCTGCAATGATAGTCTGTAAAAAGTATTGTTTCTCAGTTCAGTGAGTGTAATTGTTTCACCATATATCCTATATCTACAATTACCTGATTTAAAAATGCTCTAAAGTCATATGAAAAAATTAATTCAATTATCTTGTAAACAATTTAAAAAGACGTTGCATAAAATCATCATTGCACACTTGAAAACAGAAATGTTTCTGAATTGTATGATGCATTTTGCTTAAAAATATTTTATAATTAATGTTTATTTTACAGTAGAAAATGATGTAAAATAAACATCATTTTATTTGATGTATTAAGGTAAAATAATACCTTACATTATTTTAATACAATTATTTAATGCACATGACAGGCCTCTCCTCAGGCTTGAGAATCAGAGCTGTCTCTTATCTGCCACTGGCCTAAACAGACTTCCAAATAAAAGACCATGACCACCCAGCTACAGTATTCGTGATGACTCTAAACTGTAAAACTTTCCTTGAAAACGTGATTCTTTAATGCTGGGCAGGCGAAGGCTTATAACAGTCTGAGGGTTCATCAGACTTCAGCAGTCTCAATTAAGCTTTGCCATCTACATTTATAAATACTGAAATTAATGACCCAGTGAATTGTTTTCAGTCTCTCACTGTTATATGAAGGCCTCTTACCAATGCGTTTGTTCCCTATCAGGTAATGCACACATTGTTATGAAAGCCATCACTGCATCGTGCGATTAATTTTTCCTCACCTTGTTCGCACACCTTTGTTAATACAAACCTTGCCACATCATAAGCCAAAACGTCTTTGCTATTGTTTTCAATGGCTTGCACAAACTGTATGTGCGACTTACTTCTAAAGCAGATATTTTGTTCTGGATACAGAATCAAAACACTTTTACGATTAAGATTTCTGGTGTCCGTTTCTGAAAACCCAAATTGTACAGTAGCAGCGTGTGCTGCCTGTAAATCGTTCTCTTCTAGTCACCGTGTATAAACACTGGTGTATATCCTTCAAATTATTGTGTGCATGGTGCACCCGCACTTCAAATAATGTGGCCAATTTAGTTACACGCTCTAAAAAGACCGAACACTTGGATGATGGAAATGAACACTGTCATTATTTCACCAGATCTATGGCGTTAGATAGATTTAAATCTACGGGCTTAGAGACCCAGGGCAGCTTTTCCACTGCTATCCGCCCTGCGATGTAGGAAGTTAGCAGCGTTTAACGTGATATATAAATTGTATTAAATGCTAGAGTTAGCAATGTAGCTTTTACTTTTAGTTTCTAGTTCACAGCCTGTTAATATGCACACTACTTTCGAGTTGTCAGACAAGTCATTTTAATTGCTACCGGGACTGATCAGGAAAGCACAACTTCTGTCGATTTTGAGTGTGAGCGTGTTAAGCACATTTTTTAACACAGGGGTCCTACGACAATACGTACCTCTAACTAGTAATCGTGTGCGTTTAAAAAACGAGAGAGCAGTTTCGACCCTTGCAAAGATGTCCGTTTTGTGCCAAGGTCTGTTACTCCGTTCAGTGCGACCGCTGCAGCGCAATCTCCCTGTGCTTGTCAGCCGCAACATTGTGGCTGCAGATCTAGACACACTCTCTTCCCCGGGACAGGACACACTGCGGCCTTTCCAGGGATCCACTCCAACACAAGGCAGCGTCCACCATTCAGAGTGACCCCGGCCCCGTCCTGAGGCAACTCCGCTTGGAAAAGCCGGTAAAACACATTGACCAGTCCCCAGCCTCCGGAAAGCAGTGCTGGGTGTAACGTCGGAAGCTGTAAGAGCAAAGTTCTTTCCCAAATATCCCCTCCGCGTATTCAAAATTATACACTTCCAATGACGTTTTAGTTGCATTCTCGCACTTCTTTATGTACCCCCCAACAATCAGTTTATCATCCACCCATATGTCTCCAAAAAACGCGTGGCCGCCAAACGCACACGCCTGTGCAGTGAAGCAGCTCCGAACTTTTACGATGTACTTTGACGTCACCACGCAGCAGTTGAGAGCGTGCTCGCTGCAGGAGTGCGAATAATCGATTTTCGTCACGCCAGATGTTATGGGTTTTCTCATTTCGTATGGTTTTCAATATTTACCTTTCGTTTGTTTCAAAGAAGAACTTTCCCTCTTCAGCAAATGACTGATGGAATATTACTAACTATAATGATAAGTCTTAAAATAAATCTTACCTGTATTGGTCTAAAATAACTCTAATCTTATAAATTATAAACGTAATGGGATTATTTTGGTAAAAGTATAGGAAAGAACACTGGAATCGTGTTAAAAAGAAGAGAGACATAATTATCACCTAAACGTATGAACCCATGAGGAGGCACAGACTAAGCATGGGAAAGCTACAGAAACCAGATTTAAGGTTTATAAGAGCAATGGAAGTCAGCCATTACAGATTTAAAATTACACAAACGATTTATTTGCCATAAAAGGAAAAAACACAGGAAGCAATGCAGTTTTTTAAACATTTATCTATAATTCTGTTTTTATGTTTGAATCATATTTTGGATTGCATGTCCTAGTTTTTTTCACAGATTTTCCAAGGATTTCAGCTTCAGTTCCTGAAACCCCCACTTGCTGGCTTTTGTTTTCGCTGTGCTTCCAATAATTAACCCATCCAGCCATTTCGAGAGTTTCAGACTGGAAGCTGGGATGTGTGTGTGCTGCTCTTTTGTTTGTAGTGTGGGGTTCTATGGCTGTTATTAAAAAAATGGGGAGCTTGTAAGATGTAAGTTGGAGAGGGAACAAACCCTGTGTTATAACCCCCCTATCTGTATTTTATTGTTTTTTATATTAAAACTGTGTTCCCAATTGAGAAGAAATAAAACTTGTCACTCAAACCCAATATTTCAAGGTATTCAATTATCACAATAGCATTGCTATCTTTTCCAGTTCTTTCCTCATTGAGTCTAGTATATTGCCCATAAAACCTCACTACTCTAAAAGCATTAATGTAATGTAATGTAATTTAATAATAATAGCAAGTTCAGTGACCACAGCCACCTAACTCTGACATGTTTTAAAATGTAGACACTCTCAAACTGGGATTGATAGTGGGAGAGCAGAGATTACATTTAAAGTACATTTTCTAAAGCATACTTGATTAATCTCTTTTGCAATAGACTTCTTTAAAAAACAAAAATAAATTAATTGTAGCATCGACATGTTCTCATAAATCAGGAGTCTCAAACACCTGAGCTCACAGTTAAATATGTGTTCTAATTTGTACGGTTATTGACAAAGAATTATACCTCAGTCCTCTGTAGTAAAGAAACAAAAAGTGGAGATTCAAACTTTTAACTGTAACAAATGTTTAATCCATACTTCATAGTTTGCTATAGTTTAATAGTTTGCTATTAACAGATAGTGTTTCCTATGGGCATTCTATCTTACATTATGATAACAGAACAGTCATAGTCTGTGCATTTTTAATTCATTCTTTGACAAAATCATTGCAAACAAAATAATGCTGAATTGCTTCAGTAAAGGTGTACAAACATATTGTAGTATGATAATCTGATTAAAGGATATTTTCATAAAATGATTATCACTACTGAATTCACATACTGTATTTTTGCATTCAGGTCAGCCATTGCAAGTAGTCACCTAATTTGTTTTCAGATTTTATGATTTGCACAATGTTCTTACCTTTCTTTTGTGCATAATTAGGAGTTTAATTCATTCTTAATAGCTAAATCAGCATTGCAGTAAAACATTTGTAAACATGTTCCTAATGATCAATGGCACTATCTTTTTTTCCATAATTACTATTTGCCACTGTTCTGAAAAATCTATTTCAGAATTATTTGTTGTATCTTACATTCTTCACAAATTCCTTTCTAGGACTATTTGTTTAAAAAAATCAAAACACTTAAATAATCTGCTGATTATCTAAGGTTTTCCCGCTATTATTATACAGTATATATATTATATACTGTTATTTTTAAACAGTATCATTAACAACTTTAACAGATGCTGTGGTAAACTATTTTTTAAATATTTCTATTACCCATCTTAATTTGGGGTCTTTAAAATTTTGTTCTTTCCCATGTGCTTACCTTTATGAAATTTTACGTTTACACTTGCTTTTCACTGAGAAATTCTTCTGAGTAATAGTATCTCATTGAGAGAAAAAAAAAACAATACATTGATTAAGTATAGCAAAACTGAATGCTATAGTAATGAATACAGCTCCTACAACACATTTATTTAATTATCTAATGCATTTATATAGCACTTTTCATGTTTTGGGGAGGATCACAAAGTACTTTCCATATAGGAAAGAACCCAGATCATCCACATTCCAACACGCACCAACTCAACTGTTTTCAAAGTAATGAAAGATTGGTCAACCGTTTCCAAAGTGTTACATCTTGTGAATGTTAAAAACTTATTGTAGCAAACTGTTAAAACCTCATTATATTCTGTAAAATATACCTTATAGAAGTTTATTAGCTATAAGTTTCAGAAATGTCTATTCAAAAGTGCCTTATATTTAATTTGTGATTGTAATTTAATGCATTTTTAAACAATATTATAATGTTTATAAACAATATTAAATTTGTAAAAGTTACAGTTTGGTGCCTTAGAGAAACTGCAGAAAAGAGCACTAACAGATTCTCTTGTCTGATGAATCTAGTCACTCTTTAGGAACAAATAAAGGTTTGGTCCACACCCGAAGAAGGCTCCACAGCCGAAACATTGTGTTTCCTTTCTTCTCTTTTCAGCATGGAATAAACCTTGAGTTCCTTTGCAGCCTACGCATGCTGACACAGCCACCTACTTGAACTACATGTACTTTAGTCACTATTTAGCTGTGCAGTGACATGAGAAAACAAAGATCTTGCTAAGGAACTACTGCTAGACCAAAGTACATATTGACTGATGATTTTCAGGCCCAAGTTATAATAATTTTTCCAACTGAAACTTGCTGAGCTGTTTACATTTCGCTGTAGTTTAATAGGTTAATGGTTGCTTACAACTCCACCTGGTATAGTATGTAACTAGTATAAAACTGTTTCAGCATGCCATGCATGAGAGAGGCCAAACAGATACACAGAAATAAAATGATTCCTGAGAAGAATATTGTAGATAGCATGCAGGTGTAAAATGGGCAGTATTGAGGGCCCAAAGCACTTTTGGAACTGAGTGAGTGTCCTTCACCTGAACTATCCTTCACATCTCCCATAGGAGTCCCACATTTCTCCTTTGAAGGCAAGTGTGAAAGGTGTTCTGTTGCTTCCCATGTGAAAGAGAAGTACAAGGTTTTGTAAGGATGTAGGAATCCAGTAGGAGTTTATTTTACTTATTGCCGTTAGGATTTTGTGTTGAGTTTGCATGGTGCCATTATGATGAAAAGTCCTAGATAAATTGTTTAAGGAGACTAGGTCCCATATCCTACTTATTTCGTGTGTCTTAGATTGGCGGTTGCAATTTGTACATGAAACATACCAAAACAAAGAAATAGTAAACCTGATCATGTTACAAAAAATATTATTACTTCAACAAAGCAAAAAACAATTATATAGTATCAGAGTCTCCAACAAAGAACAAAAACTTTAAGTGAAGGGAAAAGGTAATGATGATATATCTAGTGGTTTATGCAAAGTCTGCTTTAAAAATATTAGTACAGTAAATAACTAAGGCAATTCACAAAAACTAGTACTGTTCAATGTATTAGATAATTGAAAATGAATAAAAAAGACTGTTTCAACACAGACAAAAGTAAAACATCCTTTTTATTTAAAATTATGTTACAATTTTTAAAGTGGAAGTTGTTTTCATTTCCCTCTCTTGACATTTTCACAGCCTAGAAATGTCTATGAAGCTTTAAATAGTGACCACACGATTAAATTCTGTCCCTTGTGCATCTGTTTTAAGAATTATGTTAGGCATTCCAGGATTATTTTAAAAGATGGTGCTCTGTAGAAATGATGAAAATAAGAAAAATTAATGCTTCCACCTCAGAAATATCGCCTGACTACACCCTATGTCGTCGCTGACTGCTGCTGAAAAACTGGTCAAAATGTTCGTGTTCTCTCAAATTCATTACTGTAATGCCCTACTTGCCTGGGTAACAAAATCCACACGGAAGAAACTTCAGTATGTCCAGAATTCGGCAGACAGAATCTTGACCAGGTCTAGTGCAAGTGATCACATTACTCCTACCCTTGAGAGCTTGCACTGGCTTCCTGTCAGGTTTTCTGTTGACTTCAAAATCCTCATGCTCACCTATAAGGCTCTATATGGCTTGGCACTTCAGTACCTGTCTGAATTACTATCCTTACCTTACAACCTTCGCTCATCTAATTTTGGCCTCCTATCAGTCCCCAAATGCTTAGCTATGCACCAAAGCTCTGGAATTTTATCTCTAAGGATATCAGAGAGTCACCTTCCCTGAGCACTTTCAAATCTATACTCTTCATTTAACTGGTTCTGTGTCTGCCCTTTGCTTTCCTACTGTATTCCAAACCCTTACAGTAATTATGTAATTTTACATAAATGTTTACATAAAATCAATGAGATAACAGATATGAGGTATTAAGAGACTATGATTGTTAGTGATGTAATGTTAAGTACACGCGTAGTACTAAAGGGTAGAAGACATAATCCTTATTAAATTATGCTTTTATTTTTAGCTATCACTTCATGTAGTGCAGTCACAGTTCAGGGAAATTAGAAACATTGTGGTATTCACAATGGCTTGTTTAATCATGGCCAGATGCATTTAGACTTTTGTTTTAACAAGGTGTAAATTCTGCAACTAGGTTCATGCTAAACATACTATAAGCATGTGAATCATGTGTTGTGGGTCCTGTATTGCATGCAGTGGATTAAAAATCAAGCTGCTGTATAAACCAATACAGATTATTCACAGAGAGAGGGTATTTGGGCAGCGCTGCTCCCAGATATAGAACACGGCTCCTGAACACAGGGTACACCTGGGCAAGAAAGACCAGGAGGAAGATCCTCAGATTTTACATAGAATTGTCCCTGGCTGGCCTCCTGCAGTGCTATGAAGCATCAGTGTGAACTATCCAGTGCATCCACCCAGTATTAACCAAACTTTTGTTTTGTTTTTTCTTTTAGCAGAACATTTTGTTCTGTTTCTGAATCTCAGTGCACAAAGAAATAAGTGACTTGATAACGTGTCACAGTGGAATTCTTCCAGCTCTCTTTGGGAAAAGTCATCCCCATGCTTAAACTATAATGACATTATTGTCTCTATCTTTTTGCATTAAACAATTACATTTATTCTTACAATCCATCTATCATCCATTTTCTAACTGCTTTATTCAATACACCAAAGTCCACCACGGGGCACACATAGTCACAGATACTGTACATACAAACTTTCACCAGGGCCGATTTTGCCAGAAGCCAATGAATCTACCAGTATATCTTTGGACTATGGGAGGAAACACACAAAAACATGGGGAGAGCCTCCAAACTCCACACAGATAGCACCCTAGGAATTGAACCCACTTCCCCAGCACTTTAAGGCAGCAATGACAACCATTTTGCCACCCTGCCTCTGCTTTCACAATGTATAATATTCATTATAGATAAAACTGAAAATGAAGGACTTCAGATTTGTTGGGTATTCACGGTCAATATTTCTATGTCTTTCCCTATTTAAATGAAGCTTTACACAATGTGCATGCTGAAAATCGTAATAGCGGCAATGGAGTGGCTGACCTCATTTGAAATCTGAATGTTTTCCCTTCAATATGTCAAGATATGCAGAGCACCTGCTTACCAAAAGAGTAACAATTCCCTATAGTTTCTAGAATGGTTCAACCCCTCTGTAAATTTCTCAGAAAATCATTTGAGACCAAAAGGTTACATGGATTCTACTTGTATTTATTTCCATCCAATACTGTTTCCTACAAAAGTTAAATAAATAATAATCTTTTATTCTTTTACAATATTTGTTCAAATGGCTTGGCAGCTTCAATGCGAATGTACAGTAAGTGGCCTCAAGCTAGTTTAGACTCCCAGAACCCAAAAGATGGCTGTCAGGATCATTTCAGTGTAGCTGTTTTGTTACAGTTACTTTTTGTAGAAACTAGTTCCTTCATCAATGGGTCATCGAGGAGCTCTCATGTCAGGTACACCACACACACAGACAACACCACTGCGACCATGGCGATACCACAGAGAACAACCGATACAAAAAACTGGCTCCGATCACAACAGCGGCCTCCATCCTCCTCGTCCAGGGAGAGGAGAGCGACAGAGGAGGTTTCAGTGCTGAGCGGGTCAGCATAAAGTGGGCTCTTGGCCTCCACCGTCCAGCGGAGCACGTTGACCTTCATCTCCATGTTGTCAATCATCTTGTCCACTTTGGCGATCTCTGCCTCGAGGTCATTTTGCTCCAGCCGATCTATACTCGGCAGATTCTCGTCGTGGGTGAGGGTCTGCAGGCTCAGGGCTCTAGCTGCTACATCAGAGGTTCCTCCTGTCATGAACAAACAACAGTCTAGTGTCCTGACAGCTAAGGTCAATGTTTCTTTCTTTCCACACATTCAGCCAGACAAAAGCATAATGCAACTTATTGGCTGTTAATTGCAAATTGTTAAACTGTTAAAGGGGAACTGCAGTCCCATTTTCTCAGACTGGTTATTAAATCTCAATAACAAATTAAATTAATTAACGTTATCGCAACATTTTACAAAGTTCAAATTAAACACAAAGTCATGAATTTTGTGAAAGTACTGTATAGTCACCTTGTTGTCAAGAGTTCACGAGAACTGTGACGTGAAGCAGCCCTTCCTGCTCACTAGTCACTGTACTGACTAATGTGATATGAAATATGAGTGAATAAGTACACGTATGTATCATATATTTACAATAAATACATCACCTTTCACCTATTTCTCCATTTATGTCTCATTATCAATAGTCTATAATTGTTATTTTTCTGTATTTAGCAAAAAGTGGCTACATTCCTTGAGAGCCCTAGTGCTGTTAGTCCAATAGGTCACTCTAAATTGACTTATTTTTGCACAGTATGTCACAACAACTTTTAAAGTTACTGATCTATGAAATAAATAAAGAACTTTCGTCCATTAAAGGTAGGAAAGTATTTTGATTTGTGATTCAAAGTAATGCTAGATTTAAGAAATTTGTGATCAGTTTTATTGATCACAGTTAAATTGTTCCAGGTGTTGAGAAATTGATGATTTCACATGATCTCTAAATCCATCTGACCAGGGGGTTTCCAAGACTAGGATTGGAGACCTCTGGTGTACAGGCACAGTACAGATTATATTCCCTTTAAGGTCTGATCAATTACTTTTCTTCAAAAAATGTTTAGCAAGAAAATTATGTGAGTTCATTTCTGAATTGTGAGACAAGTGGCGATTGTTTAAGAAGGATGCAGTTGAAGTTTTATTTTAGATAAAGAGGCCATAATCCTAGAAAACTGTTAATGGGCAACCCTTGTTTTGATGGTGTGTAGAATCCTTAACCTTTATTGAAGAAGAGTTCAGGTAGCAGTTCAGACAACATTTAAAGTAAAGAATTTCTTTAGCATGTTTTAATAAACTGTATTACTGTATCTTCCTTTTCCCCTAGAAACAAATCGCCTAGCTAACAAAATATAATGTTCTATTAAAGCCACTCTCGGCAAGAATATGTTCCCAAATAGTAAAAGTGGAAATTACAAGACAGGTTTAGTATAACCTATAATTGGTGTTGTCAAACTTACCCGACATCCCAGTCTGCACAAACGGGTCTGATTTGGAAGACAGAGAGAAGGTCTGTCCCATCTCAAAGACTTTACACATGTCTGAATGGAACAGCTCCAGACAGGAGGAGAAGACCACCCAGAGGCGCTCCATCTCGGCTCGCTCCTCCTTCGGCAAGCTCTTGTCTCTCAGGCTGGCTGTCAGCTTGCTCCTGTTCTTCACAGCCAGTTCCTGGGCTTTTTCTCTGGTCCTCCTGAGCTCATCTCTCAGGTTGGAGGAATCTGTCGATCCTCCAACACTGGCTGCCAAGTGCCTGTAGCAGGCCACCACCTAGAAAACCACACAATTGCCGATACTTGTCAAGTAGGAATCTGATGACACTGGACTAAACCACAGTTTTTATTTTTTTCTTAGCTACAGCATAGACTGTCAAAACAATTTCATCCTAACCACTATAGTAAACTACCAGTGACACGTTTTATACCTCATTAATACAAACTTAAAATGATTATTTCTTTTTTTACCCACTTAGTTCTATATTTAAAGTTTTATATATAACAATAAGCAAAAATGTGTGTTAACATGATGGTCAATCAAACTGATAAAAGACAAATGATTTCTGAAAAGCACAGAAATGGGGACACTATACTATAAAAAGGCACCATCCTTCAGATGAGACGTAAAACTGAGGTCCCCACTCTCTGTGGTCATTAAAAATCCCAGGGCATTTCTCGAAAATAATTTTCAAGGTGTAACCCAAATTACTCATTGGCCTTTGCGAATCATTGGCACTTAATAATCCCCATCTATGAACTGGCTTCATCACCCTGTTCTCCTCCCCACTGATAGCTGAGGTGTGGTGAGTGTACTGGTGCACTATGGTTGCTGTCACATCATCCAGGTGGGGCTGCACATTGGTGGTGGTGGAGGGGAGTCCCCATGACCTGTACAGCTCTTTGAGTGGAGCGTCCAGAAAAGTGCTATATAAGTGTAAGGAATTATTATTATTTGTCTTGATTTCTAATTCTAAACATATGCATTTTACATTGCTTGGGGTAAAAAAAAAAGCATTAATGCAAAGGCTTCATTTAAAAAAAAGAAGAAATGTAACTGAAATTTGGATGCATACTAACTAGAATAGTCAATTGCATCACATCTTACTATACCTAAAAAATGTATTAACATATTTATGGCACAACTGAAATTTAAAAGTTCACAGAAGTAACCACGTGGTTTCAGGCCATTTAGGAGACTGGTAAGAAACAGGTGCTAAAATAGGATATTAGCTCACAACTAATGCATTCTGTTAAAACAATTATTTAGATAGTCTTACCCTTCTGACAGTCATGAATTTAATCTTTAACAGGTTGGTCCTTTGAATATAAAATAATTAAATTTTAAATATTTATTGTAAGCACTCACATTAAATAACGAATACCTGTTTTGATTACGTTCTATCAAGGAGCTGTTTCATGCAAATTAGTTTTAAAATGTTTTGTAAAACTCTTTTTTTGAACATTTTCCAAATGTGTGTCCTTTTCCTTTTTAAACTTAAATTAGAAGTACTAGAGTTATCAAGAGAACACAATGTATTATTAATGAAGTCTGTGGAGGCGTAGATAGGATATAGGTTAATTTTAAGGATATTCTATAATTTTTTAAAGTAATTATACTGAAATCCTGAACCAGCTTGTCTAAATACAATCTGTTAAAATTAAATTCTATCCCCCACTAGCGAGCTCACATGGCTTATTTTCATGAACAATTTGATACTAAAGAAACACAACTTCTTTAAATAATTATATATTATGCAAACTAACACATACACAAGACATAATACATACAGTACTACTATTTTCTATTATTTACTAAGGGAGTGAGTTATATTAGTCCATCAATATACATCTACCTTTCTGACCAAGACACCTAGGACTGACCACTAATACACCTCAAAGAGGCCTAAAGGTACAGTAAGTGTACAGTAAGTGGAGCTGTTTTCATAAACAATCAACATTATTTGACCTTGGTTTCTTATAAATGTGTATCCTAATGAACAAGAGTGACAAACTTTCCCTGGCAGAGGTAAAAAGAAGAACTATTTAGTGAAAAAGTTGTTTTAACTATATAATAATTTAGGCTCACAATTCCAAGAAACATTGCTCTACATTATCATTGCTTAGAGGTAGTACATAGTGTTGATACTGTTCAATAAAAATATAATTTAAATAAAACCTTTAAATTAAAAGTGCCTCAATGAAAGTACTTTGTAAGCCTTGTATTGGTGCTTAGATTATTTCACTGCTGAATGTCTTGAATGTTTTGAAACTAATTCAGCTAAATTCAGATATTAAGCTTTGTATCTTCTACATAAATGGCTAACATAACATATATGTTACTAGTAATATTCCCTGAAAGTGGCAATACCAAACAATGTTATTGTGAACCATGCTTGAGTGATGCAGTTTGACTACAACTCAATGGACTTTGAAATATTATATTTAAAAATGTAATAATCATGTTTTCCTGAAATTATTCCTTTGCTCTTTACTGCTTGATGTTAGAGAGGCAGGTGAGTCTGAATTGTTAGGGCTCAGCAAGAGCCAGACATTGAATAGCTTTTTGAAGGCTGAAAAAATCTCTTGTATGCAAGCCCCCAGAGTTCCCTTGTCTAGACCCAAATCCCACCCTCTAACCAGGAAGAACATAGTACAATCTAACACAACTAAAGAGAGATGGACAGACAGCAGAGTTACCACCTTGAAACCATACCGTAGGAAAGGAAGTATACCAAGGGTCTGACTGTAGAGAATTAATCCTGGTACTCTGACTTAATTAGACTTTGGATTTGCACAATCTGACCTTCCTAAATTACCCTCAATTCAATTGGTGAGATACATTTGTGACATTCCTTCCTTCTCCAACTCATCTGTTATTCAGTTTGTGCACAACGGCTACTGCACATCACCCAGGTGAGAACAGCATATCTGTGATGGTTGATGTGGGTTACCAGCTATACAGTATGTGAAGCACCTTTCTGGTCCCTTGGGAAAAAAGCAATATACAAATCTTTGCATTTATCATTGTGAAAGTACCAGGAATTATATTCAATCAGAACTGTCAGTCTCTGTCACATTGACAGACATCTCAATGGCTCTTTACAGTTTGAAAGCAATATTTTACTGTGAATGACACTGTCCATTACTGTGTGTCTCATGGAGAGAAAGCTGGGGTATGCGAGAAGACAAATTCCTAATGCAAGAAATTGTATATGGCTAATAAAGTGATCTTATCTTATCTTATTTTTACTATTTTAAAACTTAGGGCCAGTCTTTTAAATGCAGCCAAAATGAAGATGCATACCTTAAATGAGTTAGACACGCAACCATATGTTAAAATAGCTGTTAAAAAAAAGAGCAAAGAAAGTGTTTCCTATCAGGATGCATTCATTCAGAAACTGAGGCCAATTTAATTATAATAATGCTGCATTTATTGTCTTGACATCTCCCCTTAATGAAAGGAGCTACATTAAAAGCGAACAAATCATATACTTAAAATATTATTCTCTTTAATTCAATTACAATTCCTAAGATCACAGAACAAGCCAAGAAAATTAAAACCTCCTAGATAGTAGCAATACAATAACGTACATTTTAGTGCGCCAACACTAAAGGCTCTGACATAAGAATATCCATAAAAATAACAGAATAAAAAATAAGATTACAGATCACACTAATTCCATTTATAACCTCAGTATCATCTTTATTACCCCCTACAACTATTTTTATGGGTCTCTTTCTTTGGTTATCAGTGGGTAAAATCTGGTAATTATTGATGATAACTGGTGCCGTATTAAAGCTATTCTTAGATAAGCTCTAGGGCTTTACATGAGAGGCTTCCAAGCCATTAGAGAATACTCTAATACAGAATACTGTGATAGGCAGCATTCTGTGAAGCAAAGGAGCACCCAGAAGGATACTACTCTTTCAACACTAAGGACATGAAAGCTTTTCATCACGAAATGCAGTTTTAAACAATTTGAAATAAGGAATGCAGTGTCTCTGTATTTAAATAACCAAAATGATTATTAAATATTAAATATTAAATATTGCTTGGTGCTACTGTAAAATGTTGTTTTTCCCAAACATGTGTGTGTGTTCACTCTGGGAAGTTAATATTCACGTAGAAGCTATATAACCCTGCAACTAGCAAATAACCCACTGAAGCTCAGCAAGTGTGAGCCTGTGGTCAGTACCTGGATGGGAGACCTCCTGGGAAAGTGAAGGTTTCTGGAAGAGGTGTAAGTGGGGCCAGCAGGGGGCACTCACCCTGTGGTTTGTGTGAGTCCTAATGCCACAGTATAGAGACGGGGACACTATAATGTAAAAAAGAGCGCTGTCCATCAGATAAGATGCAAACCAGAAGGCCTGATTCTTCGTTGTCATTAAAAATCCCAGGGTGCTTCTCTTAATGAGCAGGGGTGTAAACCCTGGTGTCCTGGCCAAATTTCCCCTGGCCTTTACCAATAAAGGCCTTTTAATAATCCCTATCTCTTAATTGACTTCATTACTCTCCTCCCAACTGATAGCGGATGTGCAGTGAGTTCACTGGCAAACTTTGCATACTGACTGCTGTTGCATCATCCAGTTGGGGCTGCACATTGGTGGTGGTGGAGGGGAGTTCCCATTACCTGTAAAGCACTGTGAGTGGAGTGTTCATAAAAGTGCTATATACAATAAGTATAAGGATTATTATTATAAAAAAAATTAACAACATAGTGGCGCAGCAGTTAGTATTGCTGCCTCACAGTGTTGGGCTCTTAGGTTCATCTCTTGGGATGCTGTCTCTGTGGAGTTTGTATGTTCTCCCCATGCATGGGATTCCTCTGGGAGCCATGGTTTCTTCCCAAAATCCAATGACATTCTGTTGCTTAGCGGGATAGGCTCTGGCTTCCCCGTGACCCTGTATTGGATATAGCTGTTAGAAAATGGATGGATGTACTAAAGCAAAAAATACAATGCACAAATACAGTGTTCTTTTCCAACATTCACTCATGCAATAGTATTGAATCCTTTCCTCAGGCATTATGTTTTTAATGTTCTTAGCTTGTTTATGCACTAAGGTGCACTCTAAAAGTGTATCAGACTGAACATCACTAGCTCTACATTAAACACATGAATCCCTCACTAACCATGTTGGGGAGTCAACCTTTAATCACAGCTCAATCAAAACTTGGAAAAACACCAGTGGGACCTTCTATAAACACTCAATGCCATGTAACATCCTAGGGGTTTTTCTGACCCTAATATTGCTTAACACACTAGCTGCAGTATTTGAGTACAATCTCTCCAAGGAACAGGCAGGTCCCATTACAAACCTCAGCACAACTGGACAACAGGACAAAAAGATTATATTTATGGGCACAGGTTATTGTATATTATGGCTACATCTATGGTTCTTGTTTGGTTGAAGAAAGGGGCTGTCACAATATTAACCTCCTCCCTTTGATATGAATTTGTTAAAGAGATTTGGTAACGTGGAACTTTACGCCAGTCAGGGAGGTGATTTAGGAAAATGTTTCTGCATTATGTAAAACTTGACAGACCTACTTGTCCATTTCAAGTTGATTCATAGGTCCTTAACAGGGAGAGTTCAGATGAGGTTATCAATAGCTCTCGTCAGCTGTGTCCAGCTGGGGCTGTGGGCATTTATTTACATATGTAACGCTTACGGCTGACAAGCACTGTGTGTAAGAGCCGGCGTACCAGAGCGGGTGACGTCACCGCCCTTCCCTGTGATAGCAGGACCACAGCTACTGGGCTGTGGAGAGATCTCTCTTTAGCTCACGGGGCTAGGTCGCTGCAGAGAGATGCGGAAGTCCCGGGTTCGAGCCTCCAGTCGGGATGGGGCCGACCAGATGCGGCAAGGGCGCCCGCCTGAGCCCCCGTTGCGTTACACATATTTTGGAAGTGTCCCAAAATGAATTTGTTGAGAAAATATGTGGGATGTGTGTTGGGCTAAATGCAGTATTGAGCAATATTCCCCCATAATCCTCTAAAGCTGTTACTTTTTGATGTATGTCAGTTAACAATTCAATGCTCGACAAGTGTGTTTTCCAAGCAGCAGTGAATGCAGCAAAGGGCACTATTCAACAGACCTGGATCAAGGCTGCTTCTCTTTATTTGGTCAAGATGTTTTGCTTCTCTGGAGGTGTTCAGCTCAGCACTTAGCCTCTGTCATTATGTTGGTAGCTTGGACACTGCCATTGATCAAGTAGCTCAGACATGATGTTGCATGCCCCTTGTCTAAGTATGGATCTGTCCTTTTTTCCCCATTTCTCCCTTGCTTTTCAGCTAAAACACTGTAATACACATTGTGAAACTCTGGAAGAAGTGTACAGTATATGGATTGATCTGTATTTGCTTCTGTGTGTTCTCTGCCGCAGGGTTGAGGTTTAAACTGATAAAAATAAAAGGTAAAAAAGGCAGCAATTTCTCCAGCAACTTTCAGTTGCCCTAAAGCTACTTGATTCTTAATCATCCAACCTACTGTAATGTTATGGAAGCGCTGCCTCAGTTTCAATGTTTAGTATGTTTCTAAACAACCCATATAAAGTATTTTACTTTTAATAACAGAAAATATGTTTATATTTTCCCTTTCAGAATTTATTTCCATACTCTAAATAATAGAATTCTATTCTTAATTACTAACTATTCATAAAAATCTATATGGTATAAAACCAATGGTAAAATTACAAAACAATAAGTAGTGGTTGCTGGCTACAGTACTGAATTACAGCAAAATGCAACACAGAAACAGAGGTCAAGGACACCATCTAAAAGCCAAACCAAACAGGTAAGTAAGTCATCACTCTCCACTTTAATATTTCAGAAATAGTTGTACTTCAAGGCACTGCTCTCAGAAGAAGATGAGAATATAGACAAGTGAATAATGAGCAATCAGTTCAACAAAGTAGGCATGACTGAGACTACACAATGAGAAACAAAAGAATATTAATAGTTCAGAGTAATGTGCTCATATGTTTACACCAAACAATGCTTTAATAGTAGCATGTGATACCATGCAAGGTACAGTATGAGTATAGCAGGATCTCATAAATGCATAAAACAAAAACATCCAAAACATCAACAAAAGAAGAAATAGAACGATTAATTTTACTGCTCATTTACTTTTGTTAACAGTAACAAAGTGAGTTCCAAATGATAATGGAGAGTAAGATGTAAGAACTTAGATAATAAAGATATAAATAACTTATTGACTCAGGAATTAGCAAAAGGAGAACTTTTGAAGACTAGGATATTCTTCTGATGAGTGATGAGCGCCCTTGAGTGTAAATCTTTGTAATTATTACCTATTAAAAATAAGTATTTTTCCATGGGGCCAGTATTCTATCAATTTGATTAAGTGATGAGTTTTGTAATACAGGGAAAAAAACAGGATTCCACTAAGAATTTCTTTTTTATCCAGCACATTTACACAACAGAACATTTTGGCAGAATGCATTAAATTAAAGAAATCATTAGACATGTTTTCATGCTTAGAATCTCTACATTGGAGAAGCTGACAACATTTTGTTCTTCTTAAAAATATTATGCAGGACTCAATGGTTTCATTGCCTCATATTCTTTTGCTGGTGTTTCACAGCCAATAACTAAAATTAAGCTAACATTTTATTGCTATCTAAATGTCTAGGCATTTTTCTTATTTTTTTTTTAATTATTCATAATAGAGGAAATAATTAATCTTATTTTGTTATAGTTTGTTGCTGAGATTTCAGCAAGATTAGAATATAAGTGAGATACGATAATGTATAACAGCTCCTTATGGTATATTATCCATTCTCTAGGAATTGGTTTCCACATCGAAATAAAAAAAAAAAAATACACAAGGAATTTATCATCGGTAAGCGACTAGAAATTTGAACAGAAAAAAAACTAAATAAAGATGATTTAAATGTGATGGCGCCTAATTCTGTATTCAAACGGTTTTTCATAGATCTAACAATATCAGTCAGTGTTACAGAATGAGCAGCAGTAGAGTCAATACAAAACAGTAATTTAATTTAAGCATCAGCTTACCAAGTATTAGTGTGAAATCTGCTAGCAATTACTTTTCCGCTTTGAATCAAAACTGGATAAATGCTTCACATCAGTGAAAAAGCTGACCTTATTAACTACAAAAGCTTTTCTTTTATTTTTTGTCACTTGGCAAAATTTGATCTCAAAGGATGCAACAAAACTGACAGTACACATTGTTTCTATGAAAAAAAAACTTGCACTAGCTTCAGCAATAAAACAATAATTTTAAACGAGAGAGAAACAGGCTAGAATGAATTAGTGGGTAATGGAAATTCAGTTCCTAGCTGCGCTTCAAGTATTGAAGTACCAGTACTAATTCTGCTTTTAAGTAACTTTTTTTATTATAATTGGCCCCATAGTATCTCTCACCTTAATTAATGCCTCAACAAGAGCCTTCGCCTCTTCCCGAGACTTGATTGAATCCGCATTCCCATCGTTGGCAATCTTGTTGTTTGATACTGGCATGGGGGCTCTTTCTGGGGTTGTGAGATCCTCACCCCTCTCGCAGCGCAGAAATGTTTCGGGACAGAAGAGTGGTGCGAACACCGCTTATTCCAGGCTTGCCTTCACCCTGAATTTACGGAATGCCATGGCAAGATGCGCTTGTCTAGGTGAGCATGAGTTAACTCCAACTAAAGGTGAAGTAATTACGCAAAAGAGAAAAAAAGTTTAAGACGGCGTTTCGTTTAAATATGGTCTTTGTCTAAAATGAACGACCAGCGAAAAAAGACCCTACATATAAACTGTATGTGTTTTTAAAATATGTAAATAAGGTAGACCCACGGTACTGTCCTTAGCCATAAAGGTAATCCTTCTGATCACAATGCCATGACTGACGCAGGGTGAACGGAGCAGCTAATCTTATTATCTACAGCTGAAGAACATGCGCCCATTGTTTGATGAAAACGCCTCCAACTAAGACACCGTCTTTTATAACAGAGCGAGTGTGGGCTTCATTGTGCATTTGGGCTTATCTCTTACAGTTACTTGGCAAGCATTCTCCTCCCGAGCCTGAACAGATGAACATCATGAAATGTATCTTTTCGATCTTTCTTTCCCGTCTCTGTTTCTAATACATACTGTATACCGGGAAGCCTTTGCACCCCAATTCCATTTAAACCTCTCTACATTAATGGATCATTCATAGAAACTATGTTCTCTTTATCTCTAGTCATTTTGGACTGGAACTGCAAAGGGAGGTTGCATTATTCAGAGTAACAGTTCCTGTCCTTGTCTTCTGTGCATTCTGAAGTTCTTCACAGTTTCAGAGACTAAGATTAAGAACAGCCACTGTGAGCACAGCAAACATTTAGAAGTGTGACACACTTAAATTAAAAAAAATATTTTCCCACCAAACTCCAGAATAAATCTTTGTCACGTCAATTTCATCAGACAAAGTTTTCCAAACGGCAAAAGAAAAGGTCAGTTATAGAAATGATGTTTTGTACAACTGTAACTCGGTATGCAGCATGTTCAAGCTATTGGTTTAACAAAAACAATAGTCCCTTAACCCAACAGCCCTTTACATTCTTTTAGGTCATATATAATTATATTAAATTTCCCATTCTGAAACAAAAGCCAAAAATCGTTGTGTAAGATTGTTGTCTGTTTTAGAACCTCACTGACTCCAGTCATGTTTTCTCCCAAGTCCCAGGCCTGTTACAGTATATATAAACTAAACAACAATTACCTGGATCACCTCTCTTCAAATCACCATATACAGAGATTTACCATTACCCTCTTCCAGATGACCAGGTGTTATGATGATGCATCGAAAGAATTTGGATAACCACTGACTCTTACATACTGGTAGTTTAAGCGGCTTCTGGAAGAATTGAACGTGGTGTAAGTGAATGAATGCTTCTGTCTGCCATGAAATGGACTGGCATCCCATCCAGGTTGTGTCACACCTTGTTGCTGTTTGATAGGGTCCAGCTCCCCCATGACCCTGAATTGAATAAAGCTCTTAAAAAATGGATAGATGGAAAGACTCTTACATGCTGTAGCATACCAAAGTTACCACATACTGCCAATGGAGTCACTACAAACTGCATGGTACTTGTACAGGAAGTACTCCACCCTCAGTGTGAATACATTCACAAGGCACTATATTATGGTCATCTGAACATTTGTAAAAAACCAACAGGAAGTCCAAGGACCTTTGCCTAAATAAGCACTAACAAAATACAACCAACTGTACTGTTTGTTGTAACTGTCAGATTAAGGAAAGACCTGCATAGTCATCAAGTGATTCTGGACTAGTGGACAGTGAACTGAGCACACAGTACATCTGGAAAGGATGATCTGCTAAAGAGTCAACTAGCTTTCCTGACTGATTGTTAGCCCTGTCTGTTCTTAAAAAAATAAATATGCAATGTGCTGTTTCACTGAGGCTTACTGGATGGGTTACCCTGCATGGGACAGCCTGAGTTAAAATTGTTTTCTTAATATGTAATTTCTATGGTTAAGAGTAAATTACCCTTCAGCTGCTGTATTGATCCAGCACATCTGGGGTGGGATACTGTAGTGAATTGCTACATTCCCTTGTACCACTGTTATCTATACACGTATGAGAGTGTTGTTGTACCTGTAATAGAGTAGGCAAGCAAAATACATATTTTGCTGGATGTGACCGAGTACTGACCTTTACCATCATATTTAAGTGAGTGCTCTTTGTGTGTGCTTGTAAAGTTTGTTGGCTGGTTGCTAACTTGTGATATGAGTCTGAAGATTTCTTAGCTGGAGTTAAAACACCATTAGTTTGCCTCAGAAACAACAGTTCAACACTGTGTATTAGTAAGTTAAGTTGTTGTATTCTGCTGAGTATAATAAACTCCTTTATAAAGTTCTTTGTAGTCATAATGAAGAATTATCCACTGTCTCAAGCAGCAGAAGTCTTGGAATTTGTATTTCATCTTGAGAGCCCAAAAAAATTCTAGTTTCATCAGGGTATATTATATAAAACTGTGTGTATGGTTGAATAAATGTAAAAGTGATAAATCAGACTTTTAAGTTGTGAATATTCTAAACATTGTGGATTAAGTTATGATTGTGCTCGTGATTGATAAATATAACCCAAGATTTCTCTGAAAGTCTTAGTATCAGGAACATCAGTTCCTGTCTAGGGGTATACAAATAGACACTTGGTACATCTTTTATCATGACTATGAAAAAAAATGTGTAGATCACTTTAATACTCAAAGACCTTAACAAGGAGAAACTAGTAACAACTGCAACTAGTAATCAATAACCTATCCATATTAACCTTGTCAAAAGTACTGAAATAAGTCATTTATTGAAAAAGAAGTGTAGTTCCCTTCCTCAGAATTAGTGTTTAAAAGTACCCATGAAGTGTACTCACAGATTTAGGTGTCTATTAATGTAAGCACAGTGTTCTCTTCAGATAGCCAACAGCCCCATTATAAACAGCATAAACAGTCTGAACTGAGTCTGCATGCCACAAGCCATGATTTCTTCAAAAAAGCACTTTCAAAGGAACATGTCACAAACTCTAAGGACAAGCTCCTAACTGCATATGAAACTGTACCTTTTGTGCTTGAGGCTGCTATTAATGATGTAGTGCAGTTTCCATTACAGCAGCCTTGGATAACATCAGAATGATTTTAGAAATCGTAGACTCACAACACATGGGTCATAAAATACTGAAATTATATCCAATTTCAAGACAACTGAGTAAGGTCTGTACCACAAATAATCTTAGAAGAAAGCTGCATTATGAAAAATCAGTTCCGAACAAAAACATTTGCTAAACTATTCTACAGTAAGATTCATCTAATTTTTAATTTTAATGATCTTTAATCATTTTCATATGGTTCACTAGGCCCTGTATATTAGACAATTTTAACCTTAATGATTGCTTTTTAATTTTCAATATTTTAACTGAAGTAAAACTGCAATATACAGTTGCTTCTAGATGGCAGAAAATATAATAGTGTTACACAGAAATCCTTGGTCCGTTTCTAAATTAGATCATATCAGGTGATGTGGTTAGTCAAAGGTCTGGATGGTATAGTAATTTGTTTCCTGACTTCTAGTTCCTCAATGCTTCTCTTTATCTGATCATTTTTGCACACAAAAGTTTGGTACAAAAAAATAGCATAAAAACATATGAAAGCTGACTAAATGCAACTAAATAAGCAACTAAATGTGTATGATATTAAACTAATTTTTAACTCATAAAATGACATTTTGCAGACATCCATTTTATCTAATTCAGTTAGAGTTTCGTTCCTTTATATTGTATTCTTAAGGTGTGTCACACAGTGACTTTCATGCACAAATGGCTGTGTACACCATTTGCACACTGAAGCCATTGTATTTGCTCAGACATTTACTGTCCTACAGCAATATATAACATGGCTTACTGGTAAATCTAGCACACTTGTGCCTGGAGGTCGATCCTGATTAGGGACAGTGTGAAATAATCCCCTCTTGTGATCTGAAATATAGAGTAAGGATTGGACTAGATTTCACTGCTGAAGTGACTGGCTGGAGCCAATCAGATTGTACCTGCAGTATCCACCTACAATACAGTACATGTGAGTACTTCTCACATCTCCTTACAAATGTTTGTTTTGCTAGTATGAGATCATTTGAAAAATTCTTCTGAAAATACCATTTAGTCAAGTTTTTTGTAAAAATACTAAATTATTTTTAAACAAATAAATCTTATGTCTTATATTTTATTTTAAACTGAAAGTGTATAAGAAAGGATCTATAATGATATGGTGGCACTGTGGCACAGTGGTTTGCAGTGCTAAGGCCCTGAGTTCAATTCCTGGGGTTCTATTTGTGTTTACATGTTCATCCCATGTTTATCTGTTTTTTTTTTTCTGGGTGCACAGTTTCCTCCCACAGCCTGAAGACTTGCTGGTAGATTGATAGCTGTAAAAAAAATGCCCTGGTGTGAGTGTGTACTGTACATGTTGTGTCTGTTTGTGCCCTGCAATGGACGGATATCCTATCCAGGGTATATTCCACTTTGTGCCTGTTGCTTTTGGCTTCCTTCACATCCTTGTACTGAAGAAGTACATTACAAAATGGATGTAATGTTAAAAAAACACAAAGATTTTTATTTGGTCCTCTGTGGGCATAGGTATGCTTTTTGGAGAACAAGAGACAGGGAAAAGGGTACCTGATGTCACTGCAAGAAAGCAGAGTCCAGCTCTGGTCGATGCTGCCTGCTGATTATATAAAATGTTTTAACTCAGTTAATGAGGTGCTATTAGAGAATGGGTAGGCAATGAAGAGTCAAGTAGGAGAAAACCATTATTGAATAGTAGCAGAGAGGATATTATTATACTGTATATAAAAAATATAGCTGAAATCCAGAATATCACTGTGCGACTTTCAAAAGAGAGGAAATTCATGCCTAACTCCGAGGACCAAAAACTGTGGAACTGGGAGAAGACATGAGTGTTTCCTTCTTGAGCAGTTATATGTAGATTTCCAGGTACTGTACGTTGCACAATGATGGGATATTGTTTAAAAGAGTGCTGGGTCTCATGACTACAGAGGTAAAAATGAAACTAAAGGTTAGGGTTGGAGGTCGAGGTATCTTAGTTCTGCTAAACCCCATTGCAACAGGTAATAATGACTCACCCTAAAGGCCGTTTTTTTTTAAGGCTTGTGATGAAAGTATGTTTTTGTTCAGATAGCATGGACTTTGTTAAGGCAGGTGTGGACACCTCTGGTCATGAAAATTCAAAGGCAGAAAGGCATTTATGTCTTCACTCCAGTTCATTTTTGAATTACTTTGTTAAACAAATAACAGATAATAGATATACCCACAATTTTAGACACTAATGATTTGATGGTGACCTATACAACCTGCTGGTCAGTGGCTTTCCAGGGCCATTACTGGCAACACCTGAAACAGCTAACAAACAAAAAGGGTTGAACATACAGTCTGTGCTGCTGCCTTGTGTAAGATATTATTTTTCTCTAAGGTTTTTGCCAGTAGAGGGTGTTATTACAACAGCTCTGAGTCACATATGCTTTCTTTTAACTGCAACAGGCACTTGCTGTTTTTGTTCTTGGTGTGCTGTGAGCATCTGAAGATAAATCTCATAAAGCAAAATATCACCCTATCCTTGCTATGTAGGAATCCACTACTTCCCAGCTTTTTGACACAATTCACCCTTTTTAAACAATTGCCATTGAACTTATTTGCTTCAAAATGTACTTTCTGAAGCTGAATTGAACAATATACATTTTAAAATGAAAAATGATTATATTTCCTTTGATTTAAGGGTGTGGTATAAGCACCCAAATTTGTTCTATGTGACAACATAGATAAAAAAAAACTGTGATTACAGTGAAATCTGTAAATGGTTGAAGGAACATAGGCTCAAATCAGGGATTTGGCACTGACAGGAATCCAAAATCTGCTATCTTTTCATTTATTCTTTAAATAAATGGCATTTAAGACTTTTTCTGCAGGATAAACACAAATTAAAATACTAATAAAAGTGCTAATGAAAATAGATTTCTTTATGTGTAAGTTATTATGATTAAATATTGGTATTTTGAAAGGGTTCAAAAATGTGGCTGTCACTTACAAATTTGTTCCAAATCTTACTTTCCCACTGTTAAAAAATATTTAAAAAAAACTGTACTGATTTCCCTGGTCCTAAGGCATTAGTCTATTGGTTTCCCCATACAGTGTAGATATATTCAGTTTCCTAGTAGCTCTTGGGTTCACAGTATAACCTTTTTGCCAACAGCACAGCTTCTGTAGTAAATGTAACGAGCAACAGTTCTGCATAATGGTCCAAAACACAAAGAAAGACTGCTTGCAGCTCTTTTTTACTCTTATGAAACAGCAGTCAAGCATAGTTTATTGGAAACTTTCTCTTATTCTTGCTGCAGATTTCTTGGATGGCTCAGTAATATTGAGAGCTAGCTTAGACCACGCTCTAGTTAACCCAGTCATTAAAAAGCTGGCTTTTCAGATGATGTGGGGGTAAATTGCCAAGCCTTATGCAGAAGAAAATGCAGCCCAAATAATTACTAGATTAATGCCAGAGGTTATCTGCTCAATGCATATCCCTTATGTAATAATGGCCACAATGAATTGGCCAGTGCCGGCACTTTACTTTGTTACAAAAGGCAACCTGGAAGAAAAGGTGATGAAAAACCACAGGGAAAAATTCAGTGTAACTTTGTCTCTGTATTCATTAGCAGCACCATTTCTGCAAAGATAAAATCTTGCATTATACCAAATGAAGTGTGCCATGCACAGGTTTAATGTAAATGGGAATTTTACACTAGTCAAAATTACCTTTTGTACATTTCTCCTAAAAGTTACTTGATTCATCCATTAGTCTTAAACATGTCTTGAGATGTTTTTCCAAGAAAGGGTTCACTATTTAGAAACAAACTTGATGAATACAGTGGCTTCAGAGCATTCTATTCATCAAGGTTTTATGCATTTCATTAACCTGAGAAGCAACAGGCACATGGCAGGATACACCCTGGATGGGACACAGACACACACAAACTTACACCAGGGCCAGTTTTCCCAGAAGCCAATTAAGCTATCATAACATAGTTTGACTGTGGGAGGAAGATGGAGCACCAGAAGGAAAACCATACAAACTCTGTGCAGATTGCACCTCAGGTCTGGTTAATCACACCTTAAAGTTTTCTTGTCTTCAACAAGAATAAATCCTGGAATCTCACCAATAAGTATGTCCAGATAGTCTTTGCTGATATGTATACTAATTTATTTACAGTATATTGAGAGACATTTTTTAAAACAATGTACATTAATTTTACATATTAAAAAATATTGAATGTATATATACTAACATCCAGTTTTATTCCATGAAATATTTATTAGGTTTATTAGGTCAGAAAAAAAGCTACACCTTAGACTATTGGTGAGCGACTTCTTTTTGGCCTCAGTGTTTGGTAAAATAACGTACTTCAAGACCTGAATGAAAAAAGGACAGGTTGAAACAGCTGAAGAAAAGTTACAGTGTTTAATATTATTGTTTAATCTAAATCAAATAAGGTGCTGTACATGGGAACACAGGCAGATTCTTCACAGAAAGTGAAGCTAAAGTTAGAAGAAAACAAGAGGAGGGCATTCAGTCTAGCCAGCCTATTTTGGTAGTTAGTAGTTAATTTATCCAAAGATTCGTCAAGCGCATTTCTTGAAAGAAACCAGAGCAATATTTTCAAAAACATAGCTTTTCGATACTCCCACAACCCTTTTAGTAAAAAAGTGCCTCCTGTTTTCAATACACTTCCATGCAGTGATTTACTGTTGGAAGAAATCCACTGGCTTGACTTTGTCAATGTGTTGTCAATGTGTAGTTACACAGGGAAGCAGCATTTTGACAGGAAACATTGGACTAGACAAAACAAAAGCACTACAGATACAACTTGAAAGTGTGATTTGCTGTCATTATTCCCAAAAAGGCATTTTAACATAATCTTCCCCATGTACACAACACAAATTGTTCTCATGTATTTATGGTATTCCTCACAAAATAATATTCACATTCATTTCATATTGCTCTACACTGTGTAGGTAGCATCACTGAATTTATTAACATGCAAAACCTTGAAACCACATGTATATATTCTTCAAAACAAGTACGAATTAGTCAAGAATAAGTCTCTCACTTTGGTAGTTTTGAATCATTTATAGTATCCTAAAAATATTCTGTGGTAATGATTAATTGAATGCTAGCTGCTGAGTTCAACAAATATATGGAGTAACAAATGAAAACAAAATCAGTAAAAAAAGCATATAAGGACTCACAAAAACACATCCATTCAGAAAATATACAGCACAAGAAGAGACCAGTATATTTTTGCAAATAATAGTAGCAGAGAACCTCAAAAATACCTTCTATCATTATAGATGATTGTTGTTTTAATCTGAAAGTAGGTAAAATTGTGAAAGATCCCAAAGCTTTTCTTTCATCACAATTAGACAGGAAGTTGTTTAGTTCTTAAATCTCACATGCCTTATTCCAAAACAGTTCCTAAAGATTAAAAGGAACTGTGCACATCATCCACATTTTGTGCACATCCCATTGCTGTCTGAAATGCATAGTATTACACAGTTCTAATACCTGAGAAAGAGCCTGATTTTAAGAAAGAACATTAGGTGTACAAAATTGGCCGAAAGTCATGATAACTGATTTGTATACCTTGTAGACTTCACAACCAGGTTCAGAAGTCTTTTTACTGGATAAGACACTTATCACAGCATATAAACTAAACAGAATAAAGACCTGAAAATGTTAATGGACATATCACAATGTACCAGCACTATCTAAACATTTGTTTTTTTAAATACGCCATTTTTTTTCTAAGTGTAATATCTTAAAACATAACAGCATAAACGTCTCTCTTAACCTGGACAATGATATTTTAAAGAGAAATAAATCTTCACTTGTGCCCAGTGATCCATGCAGGAACACAACAGCCTTAATTGTAGTTAAGTTACAGCTTATGCATTAAGATAATTTTGTTCCTCACAGAAAATTGTTCTTTTTCCTGGACCTCATGCTCTGTTTGCTATGAAGATATGCAATCCCAAAACTCATGACACACACACTGGCATAAGCCATACACCATGACAATGAGAAGACTGGAAGGTACCAGACTGACCAAGATTACTCCCACAGTGGTTCTTTGAGCGATTAGAAGGTAAACCCCCAGTGGCAGGGAACTGAAGTACAACAGGCCCAGCATCCACACAAGTATCCTTGCTGAGGTCTGGCACAGCATGGAGGCGCAGTTCCATACGGTCCAGCGACGAGACACAGAAGCAATGGAGTCAAAACTAGAGGACCTGTATTCTTCCACTATGGGAGAGGCGGAGCTCTGAGGCTGTAGGGGTGCTTCCGGCTGTGCATCCACAATGGTGATCACCAGGCAGTTGGAGGAGCTGCAGGACGAGGGGCTGACAAAAGAGCTGAGTCTCTTGGGACTGAGGAGCAACTCAGTGGAGCCGTCATGTACGTTCCTCTTGTTTTTCACCCTGAAAGTCAGGGCCTGCACAATGTTGTAGTCGTCAGGGAGGCTCCCCTCTGCTTCCTCTGGGAGGCTGGTTGGATACCGACAAAAAGGACATACAATCGCATTTGGGGGGGACTCCCCCAGGTCCAAGATCTTGACCAGGCACTTGGCACATAAGCGGTGACAGCACTGAAGCACCTTGGGCCTCCTGTTTCCCAGGTTGTAATGGCAGTAGCAGATCTTGCACTCCAGCTCCTCGGCACAGCAGCTATCCACCATTTCCTCCAGATTCAGTCCGGCCAGTTCTTCCTCAAAGATGTCTAGACATAGCAGGGGCAACGTTCACGAGCATTGTCACAGAGTACCCAGAAAGCTTACGTAGAAGTCTGGAATCATCACATGCTGTCTTTGTAAGAACACAGCATCATGGGAGCTAAGCTGCAAACTGGGAAGCTTCATGCGAAAAATCCTTTCATGGAGTCCATGGAGGGAGGGGAAAAAACAGGAGATAACTGTTAACACAGCATTCAAAAACAAACAACAGACACAAAGCAGGTTCTGTAACAGAGTTGCTGGAATTTTCTAGCCCAGCACTGTCGCCAGTGAACTCAACCCAATTAGCAACTCACCATTTGGCTCTGCTGTGCTGATAATGGTAACAATGCAGTTCAAACTGCCTTCCGCTACATTTTTGTTAGTGGTGGACAAGTTTCCCCTAATGAGTCCTTTACATTTTTGATTTGCCCCTTTTGATTTTTTTTTTGTTAAAACCATAACCCGTTTCTGTATAGATCTTTCCTCCATTCCTTTTCTTGGACAATCAGGAAGTGATCACACTATCCTTTTAAAGGTTCTCTTCTTTTATGTTTAAAAAAGCAGGTGCACTGTACAGTATATGTTAAAGATACGGAGTAGAGATTTTCATTATGGTAATCATTGTTAAAGAGACTTACTATTTGTATCTATCAAGTGATCAAGTGAAAGATGGATCCAGCACATTTGTCTTCCAAGGTAAAGAATTTGAAAATAAAATGAATTGCAAAGAGCAGAATAATTTCTATGTTGCTTTTAATAAATGACAAAGATTTCATGCAAGCACAACAACTTACAATGTCTGCTCCAGCCATGTGCTGGCAGTAAAATACTGCAACAGATGGTAAGTGACTTGAAGAATATTTAATCTTTAATTAATATTTTCTATTGCTGGCCTTTGGTACATAACAATATTATTTCCTTTAGAGATCGACACACATATATACAGTATATATATACTGTAGCATCCATCTTCATAAACTTCTGAGAGTAAAAAAGAAAATTCTAATGTTTTGCATAAGAAATGGAAGGAACCTATGTCTGTAAGGTCTTATATAAACCGTATATACTGTACAACATAAGAAAGCCAGGCCAAAGTCACATTTTCAATAAGTCTGAAGCTGCTTACATTCACTTTACAACATCTTGGGAGATTGTGTATCCTACAGTATGTACTTGACCTGTTGAATGGCTGACCTACAAAACATCACAAAAATGGTGGAGCTACTGTAACTCAGTGTGCAATAAACAAATCAGCAGCCAGTTTTCCATTGAAACTGTCCAGGTTGAGACTAGTTTATATGTACAACTTGGTACATTGTATATATATATGCACAAATTCATTTGTAAAAATGCAATATCTTCTTTGTTACAACTTGTTTTTCACCTTCAGCTGCTGAGGCTATTGCACAGTCCACATCTGCATGTACACAATGTACACAATCAGTTGTGGAAAAATGTTTCTTAACTACTGTAAGAACAATGCTCATGCACCACTCTAAAGCTATTGATAATTCATATCTTATTGCTATAAGATATACTGCTATTAATACTTGAATACACTTTATGTTATACTGTATACTTCACATCTTGCACTATTTAGTCTTCTCAAACGTCCTGTGCAAAATCCCTTTTTGATCATTATCAGTATACAAAGTATATAACCACTCAAAAACAATATACTGTTAGCACATCATGGAACAGGTCTGAAATGAATGAGCCTGTGATATTAACTTGCTGTCAGTGTATCCATTGAATGTATGTGACTTCTCTGCAAATCAGGAATTATGACTGGAAATCAGAACATAAAAAGTGTTATTGTGAAGTGAATTTCATCCATTTAGACCCAGCAGTATAAACTAGCTGTGGAAAACCTAAGTCGGTAAGCTAATACGCTAGCCAAAAGAGTTTGCTTCAAGAGTTTTATTACTTTATTGTGATAGCAAAGACTGGTCTTTGTTACCTTGTGGCAGCAGTTTGCCCTTTCCACTCCTCGTGCAGGTCGGAGGAATGAGGCTCTCTAACTTCACAGAACGTTATGAGATCCGTCACCATGACAACAAACTGAACCAAACTAAAAAAAATCGGGTCAGCCAGCCTTTTCTTCCCTCTCCTTCATTCACACACAAAAAAAACCTTCTGCATTAAACCAGAGATATACCAATGGCAATAGATTAACTTCAGGTAAAAAGTTCCCCGACCACTCATCTTCCATAGAGATAACACAAAAATGGTGAGAGAGAACTAAAAAAACATCCAATATTTTTTTTTTGCTCAACAGTCATGCTGAAAACCAGAACTCATCTGGAGCAGAAACACTACGTTGGCGCATTCTCATCCAAAGATCAGCAAAAAAGACAGGGTTTTGTCTTGGTGTGCTAAGAAAGTAATATGAGTCTGTCATTTTATCTACAGGAGTCACACACCAGAAAGAGAGAGCAGGGTGCTGCACCTGGGTTTTTCTATTTGCATTGCCACCACCAGGTCCTCTGCTGACACCAAAACAACCCAGTGTAATGTTACCCTAGGCCATGCCCTTAGGTTATATGACACAAGTGGGGATGGATCAGTTTGACATTACCTACCTGCATTTATAATAAGGTCTTAGATCTTCATGTTAATAAATGCAAGACTGTGCGGAGGGCCAAACACTAAAACCGTCTTGTCTAAACATTCCAGGCCCTGGGAAATAACTAAGCTACAATATTTTACTGTATATAAAACTTAATAACTAATTTAAACTCTAGATCTTGGCATGTCACATTTTGTGACATGGGATCAGCAGAAAATTAGCAAAGATAGAAGACAAGAATGCTGAAAAGTCTTCAAGCATTGGTATGAGTATGGTAGCTTTATTTTGATGAAGGGCTCAGTTCATTCTCAGACATTTGCTTAAAAAGACACGGGTTGGGCTGTGCTTTTACCTTGTTTGTATAAAGACTACTGTGGTATTTCATTAATTACATGACAGTGGGTGCAGTGGTTAGTATTGTTGCCTCACAGTGCTGGGGCCTTGGCTTCCAGACCTGAGGTGCCATCTGAGTGCAGTTTTTATGTTTTCCCCATATTCACGTTGGTTTCCTCTGTGTGCTCTACAGTCCAAAGACATACTGGTAGGTTAATTGGTTTCTGGAAAAACTGGCCCTGCTGTGAGTGTATGTGTGTCTCTGTGAGTATCCTGCCTTGTACCTGTTGCTCGTGACGCTGTATTGGATAAAGCTGTTAGAACATGGATGGATGGACACCGGACATTAATTGCTTTACAACTCATTGCTGATTGGAGGAATACTCTTAGTATAACTGTTGATGTTTGCACAGTTCACAAGACATAGAGGCATGTGATTGTTTACAGAAAACTTGACCTGTTGAATGGCTGACCTACAAAACATCACAAAAATGGTGGAGCTACTGTAACTCAGTGTGCAATAAACAAATCAGCAGCCAGTTTTCCATTGAAACTGTCCAGGTTGAGACTAGTTTATACTTGAGTACCTACAAGCAGGTGCTTGTATAGAGGGTCATAACAGTCTAAAACCTCCAAAGTAATACTCCTCTATGACATTCCACTCGATAATAAGCTTTAAAATTAATGGAGAATTTGCACTGGTTTTCAGAGTAAATGTAAAAGGTTTTGTCATTAACAAGTGGAGTTTAAAAATTATAGTTTGGTGGCAGACAAAAATTAACTTTTCAGATTGTTCTGTAGACAAGAGCAGTCAACACCCTATCCCAGCTTAGTAACCATTCCCAGTCTCTGGGAACTGGTGGATACCTGTCCATTTGTGGTATTATTATTGAGAGACATATGTGTGGCAGTCAGTCCTGACTTGTCCTAAAAGGCACCGTGAAGATTACACACATACATGTTTATTGTTCCCATACTAATGAATACAGTATATGCAAACGTGGAATGTATACGTTCTTATATCATAGGAAAAGTTGTTTAATTTATCTCCCATGTTCAATCTGAATTTAAGTGGCCTTGTATGAAAGTAAACTTACAACTGCAGGTTTCCAGCCATAACCAGCAGGTTTTATCTGGTGAACACAGGCAGGAATCTGACAGAAGGAAATCGTTTTAAGCTGCTTAAATTACAAAATAAACAAGAGGCACTTATTTTAAAACACAAAACAAAAGGGTAGTTGTGACCCACAATACACAACTACATTTATACAAACACAAAGAGAAGAATGTTAAAGTTCAAAATGAAAGCTGGTGCTCTTTGGTAATTTCTGACTTTGACAATGTCTGGTTTCTGCAGTTGCTTGGTATGGTGAACCAGGTGATAAATACTGGCAGTCATGTTTATTCTTACAGTATTTCACACCAAGGAATCCGAAATCCCTGATCCAGGACATATTTTACTTAAAAGGCTGACATTTTCTATGAAGTTCTATATTCTATAAACCAATGCTCAATCATACCTATTCTGGGTACTTCTGGATTTTTGCCAACTCTGCAAATGGTCCTAGAAAATGACAGCAAAGTTTGCTATAGAGGACAATTAAAAAAATCATGATAGATTTGTGGCTTGCGCTGACAGAAGCGATTAGATTGTGCATCAATCACTTCCAGAGATGTTACGTTTAGAATCCAAATTTAAAATAACAAATGGCAAAAGACTTCCACCTACTGGTTAGTTTTCACATGTCATTTCAGTCCATGCCTAATATGTCAACACAGGAATAAACAGAGGCTTCTGACCCCAGGTCTCCAGCCTGACTCTTTAATGTCCTCAAATCTTAAATGTATTTACCCTGAATCTTAAATGTATTTTAATTGCTAGTATTTAAACTAGCTTAATTTCATAAGTAAATTTGCATAAATTGCACTGGTGTACAGGTATAAACTATGTCTCTTATGAGGAAAGATAAAACCCACATTAATCTCCTTAATTAGCAGTAACAAATTCCCTAAATAAAGATAAAGCCAGCAGCTTTATCACTATCTAACTGGTAACCCACTGAAACTCAGATACGATATGAACCTGGTCAGTACCTGGGTGGGAGACCTCCTGGGAAAAACTAAGGTTGCTGTTGGAAGAGGTGTTAGTGGGACTAGTAGGGGGCGCTCACCCTGTGGTATATGTGGGTCCTAATGCCCCAGTATAGTAATGAGGAAATTACATTGTAAAAAAGGCACTGTCCTTCAGATAAAAGGTAAAACCAAGGTCCTGTCTCTGTGTGGTCCTAAAAATTCCCTTTCTTGATAAGAGCAGAGGTGTTATCCCCAGTGTCCTGGCCATACTTCAGCCTTGGCCTTTACCATTCATACCCTCCTAATAATTCCCATCTATGATTTGGCTTCATTACTTTATTCTCCTCTCCATTGAGAACTGATGTATGGTGAGTGTGCTGGCACACTTTGGGTGCCATTGCCACAATCAAGGTGGATTCTACACATTGGTGGAGGGGAGTCTTCATTATCTGTATGTGTAAGTTATTATTAATATTATTATTTTGGTTTTTGTTGTTTACAATTGCACAAAATATGCAGGGTTAAAATTTTAGTGTGGTAGTATCATAACACATAGGTAGGTATTCGTATGGATATTTCAAAACCTGAACCTCTGAAATATGTATAGCCATTGTCCCACAATCAGCAGGGTGCTTTAAGAAATGACAAAGCTGTAAAGTTAAGATGAATTCACATTAAAATATAGATTAAACACGCAACTTTACAAAAAAATATTTTCTTAAAATTGAAAACCCATTAATGACATTTTCTTATAATCTGCATTGTCATTAGAGAAGGTACAGTATGTTGATTTTTACTTTTCCTGTATGGCTATAAAATACATATCAAACATCATTAACACAAATTTCAAATCAAACCAACAGCAGCAGAAAGCTATGTAATAAGTGTACAAATCACACTTTTGTTATAGTTATATCCAAATCTTAGTTTACGTAGCAAACAATGTCATCTTGCAAATTTATTTCTACACAATAAGGAAAGCTTAGTTGTACAAAATAGAAGCGACAAGACTAAACAATGGGTTCAGTTCCAGATCCAAGGTGCTATCTGTGTGGTCTGTATGTTCTCAATGTGTTTGAGTGGGTTCACTTTGGGTGCTCCGTGTTTCCTTCCACAGTCCAAAGAAATACTGGTAGGATAATTGGCTTCTGGGAAAGATTGGTCATGTTGTCAGTGTGAGTCTGTGTTTGTGTCTGTGTGTGCCTGGCAATGGACTGGTGTCTCCTCCAGAGTGCATTCTGACTTGTGCCCATTGCTTGTCAGGATAGGCTCCAGCCCTGTATTGGGTCAAGTGGTTAGAGAATGGATGAATATATGATCAAGGTCATTACTCAGTAAACAACATTTAATTGAAAAATTAATATTAAATATTTGATAGTGAATCCTAAGCCCTAGAGCAACCTATTACTCTGTACTTACTGTATAGAACAAGTAGTAAGGCCTACCTGTTTTGTATAAATGTCTACACTCAGTGTGTTTAGTAAATGACACATGTATCAGTCAGGGAGGGAGGGTTGTTTTCTTTTTTTAATGAAACCTGGTATGCAAATAAATCAGATGTCCACTGTCCCCACATCCCGTGAGTAATGAAGATGTTCTCAGGATGTAAGACAAGCCCACGCTTGGTGTACTTAGCCACATCCTCCTAGTGTAAAACACTTTATCTTATTCTCTCATCAACAAAACAGCCACGATGGCACAGGAAACTACACTTCTGGGGATGTGAAAGTTCTGCAATACCTCTCCTGGGTAGAAATCTGTATTTTCTGAAATTTCAGGAACAAGAGCATGAAAATAAAAAGAACAATAAAAAGAAGAATACACAAGATAAAACACAATTACAATATATAGAGGAGACCGTGAATGGTGGTACTAAGAAAAGCAGAGGGGTGAAGAATGGAACCAGTTAAGTTAAGGCTTTTCTGAAGAAGAGGGTTTTGAATCTGAATTTGAAGGAGTTTAGAGAAGGTGACTCTCTCATATCCTTGGGGAGAGAGTTCCAGAGCTTGGGGGCATAACAGGAGAAGGCCCTGTCACCCATACAATGTAGACGGGCTTGGGGGACTGTAAGGAGAGCAGAATTAGAAGAGCGAAGGTTGCAAGGTGGGGAGTAGGACGATAATAGTTCAGACAGGTACTGAGGTGCCAAGCCATGCAGAGCCTTATAGGTGAGCACGAGGATTTTAAAGTTTACACAGAATTTGACCGGAAGCCATTGCAAGGACTCCAGGATAGGAGTAATGTGAACACTTGCACTAGACGTGGTCAGGATTCTGGCTGCTAAATTTTGGACATTCTGCAGATTGTTCAGAGTAGATTTAGATACCCCAGTGAGTAGAGCATTACAGTAGTCAATTTGGGACAACACAAATGTGTTGATCAGCTTTTCAGCCAGTTAGTGATAGCATAGGGCGTAGTCTAGTGATATTTTTTAGGTTAAAAAAAATATATTTTGACAGTATGCCGCACATGTGGGTTGAATGTTAAGCCAGAATCGAATATAACCCCAACATACTGTACTGAT